TTGATAACAATCTATCAAGAAATCACAGTGAGATCCCCTTAAAATCATTATAAATAAAGCTTCGCTGCGTTTTGCAACACTGGCATTTTGTAATTTCTGCTTGGAGAGAGATTTATTTTAGAATACACAACAATTGTTTCATATCGATTCCATTCTTTGCTTTGCATAAAAATGTGATTTATTTATACAAATTGATTCGAATGCATTTGCGTCAGCGCCCTTTATCGGCATATTTGGAATTCATGCTTGTTGTTTTTACAAATGATTTTTGTATACTTTTATACACATTTCTGTTCTGTTGTTATTATTATAATTTGTTTCTTTTTGTTTCATTTCAAGTGCTGAAACATTCATTCATTGGCACGAACTGCACGCATCTGTTGTTAGCCTTCTAGCCATATCATATTATTAACCAATGACCATTATTAATAAAAATATTTCATCTGGCACACAAATTGTTGCTACGTTCGAAATATTCGAATAAATGTGAAATTTGAAATTCACAAATGCCCAAAAATGACAAAAAAAAACAACATCAACAACAAAAACATGAACAACAGCAACAAAACATTCAAGTTACAACTTACAACATGGAGAGAGATACATGTAAGTACAAATTCCCAGAGATTTGTTGTGTGCGTGTGTGTGTGAGTGTGTGTGTGTGTGTGTAGCTCATGCGGAAATGTTGTTGCTTGTTTACAAGAAAATTGTTTTAACATTTTGTTGTTGTTTGCATCGCTCTTCTTTTTCTTTCTTTTTTTTTTAAGTACATGCCCTTTTTTGGATGCTGTAACTTATTCTTTCTGTTCGTTTAGCAATAAGTTTTCATGATTTCAACATCAAAGTGTGTACACACTTAAACTGTTTAAACAGTTATGTTATCGATAACAATACAGCTGTTAGCGTACAATTAACAGCTGTTATTCTAAGCTTAATGGAATGTTATTTTTATGTTCATCTCGAATATTATGACAAATTATCCATAAAAGGTAAAGAATGGAGCATATATGTATATGGAAAATATCTATATCCATATCTTTGTTAGTCTACAAAGTCAATCAAGCGTTAATAAAGATCTTACTTTATTTGTTTCGCTCATAACTAAATATGTGATTTGATAGAGTATCTCTGTTTCGACTTGCTAGCTTGGATGTTGCTTGTAATTTTTATAGCTGCTTTTGGCATATGGCTTACGAAATCATGTTCAGGTATTTGTTCGGCTTAACCCTTATGCTCGCCCCGTACACTTTCTTGACATGCCGACTAACTGAATGTCAGTTGTGCCACAGACGCAATCCGTTCGTATGTCATAATTAGCTGTCGCTCTCTGCTCTGGCTGTAATAACAATTTGTGCCCGGTAGTCAGGTAAATGTCATCACATTCGTATAATAAATTAAATTGTTGTTGTTCAACAAATTGAAAATAAAACAAAAAGTGAGCAGTTAGTTAGTTAGTTGCTTGGCCTGCTTGTTTGCTTACTTGACTAGAATTAAAAAATAAAAATGAAAAAAAAACCCCCAACAACTTGATCGCTCCAATTGACGCTGCGCAAGGCCACTGAAATTGCGGCTAAACGTTTGTGAACCAATAAAAAATATAAAGATATATATAGAATGACGAAAAAGTAGGAATATATTCGGCACGCCGAAGATTTAATACCCTTGTGGACATTTCCGTTTTGCAGATTTTTGGGAATAGTGAAGCTCTTCAATGCTAAGCTATAGCTGCTATATGATATAGTTATATATATGATATATGATCTTGCGAGGAGCATAGTGAAACTAATAGATGCCGATATGATGATAAAGATATTTTGACAAGCACCCTATATTTCAGGAGATCGTTCCTATGGCAGCTATATGATATAGTGGTCCGATCTGCAACAGAAAGACTGACATATGCAAAGTTCCAAGATAATGGCTTTAAAACTGAGAGACTAGTTCGCATAGAAACATACAGACGGACAGATATAGACGGATATGGCTATATCAACTCGGCTGTTGATGCTGATCTAGAATATATACATATACCTTATGGGGTCGGAGATGTCTGCTTGTAAGCGTTACACATTTCATGATAAAATTATAATACCCTCTACAAGAGTATGAGAAAGGACAACACAGGCAGATCGATCTAAATAGCAGAATATGTATATATTATTGATATGATATTTTTGAATATGATATTCCCTATCATATTGACTATCGACACGTAACCAAAGCCATGTCCCAACAATACGAAATCAAATGAAACCAACATGATGTCAAACACGACAAACACGAAAACTAGATCAACACGATCAACACGACTTTCATATGCAATCAACACGATCAATAGGAACTCAAAGAGGATCTACACGACACCAAACACGATGCAACAAACAAACCAAAACTAAATAATAAATTATTTACATATAACAACTTTGTTTCTGTTTTCACAAATTCTAATTCATCTATCTTGGCTAATTATATACAATAATAATATATATATATATAACTTATTTTCATGTATTTCCCTAAATTCTAATGCTAAGTAAATTCTACGAATCTTTTAATTTTATACGCTTATTATAATAAAATAGTGCATAAAATAAATGTTCAATTTTAACGAATTCCGTAACTTTGAAAAGCCAACTCCATGATGAATGTTGCATTCTGACCTTATGCTCAACATTATATAACAAACAGCCCACAGTTGAGCTGCATTCTCTGATTTCGGGGCTAATGCTCATTTGTCGTCTACAGTTGCCACGCCCCAGAAAGCCGCTTGGGTCACGGATAAACAAATATTTTATACGTTTTAATTGCAACAAATCGGCTTAAGACAACTCCGTCTCCGTACCCATCCCCGTCCCCGTTCCCGTTCCCGTCTCCCTTTCGGTTTTCGGCTGCGGCTGCGGCAGCTCGTGTTGGGTGTGTTGCATGCTCTCAAAAGGCAGGGGCCAAGGCACCAAGGACAAGGCAAAGGGTTTTTGGTGTTATTGACATCGGTTGGGGTTTTATCATTCCAACGACTGCCTATGCTGTTTTCTGTTTATACCCTGTACGCATTGGAAGTGGGGTATAACGCTTTTGGGGCAAATGTACGCAACAGGCTGGAGGAGGAGATGAAGGAGACAGCTCCGACTATATAAAGTATATGTATATATATGTATATATATGTATATATTCATGGTCAGCATTATAAGTTGAGTCTGTTCAGCTCGATCCTTAAGGCTATACGAGCTAGAGACTTTAATTTGGGTGTAGATGCTCTCTATACAATCGATGGATCATTCCATTTCACCAAAATCGATAAGTATCGATTTAAAGATTGGCTTTTTAGACCCCATCTCGAAGATTATAGCAACCATAGACATTCTATATGGCATGCAGCTACTCATATACTGCACACAAATGCAGAATATACAAGTTTTCTCATAACTCCCCCATTTGCCAGTAAAAATCTTTGCAAAGGCAGCTCAGCGCTGGTTGCAGGGCATCTCTCAGCCGCGCACACCCGACTCGGTCACTCTTATTTGTACCTTCTGTTTTGGTTTATCTGTTGTTGTTGTTGTTTCTTTTTTATCATTTCTTTCTGTGGCTTTGTTCGTTGCGTGGCCGACAGAGATTGTGGAGTCATATGATTTTTCTTGTTATTTGGCTTTAATATTTATGAGCCAAAGGCTTTTGGATGCCACTAAAGATGATAATGATGATGATGATAATGATGATGATCATTAATGATCATCGCTCGGCTGCTTGGTATTGGGTGACGATGACTAACACAAGATCAACATCATCATCATCATCGACGGCGGCGTTCATCACGGAGCAGGTGAAGCTCAACTATGCCCGGCTAGATTCCAACTCTTTCTCTTTCTCGCTCTCTCCTCTCGCTATCTTTCTCTATGTCCGTCTGGCTTTCCGTCCGCAGCATTTGTCACTTTCACATTAAAAAGAAGCTGTTGTCGCTCTCAGTTTTGATTAGCTTTTTCATAGGTGGGGCGGGGGCAAGGGGCTGGGGGCTGGGGGCTTTGTTTTTATTCCTTTTGCGTAGAGCGCATCATTAACAATGCGATGGATGAGGCTGAGTCAAGCGTCGAGGAGAAAAGTATCTGCAAAGCTAAAATCTTATCGAAAGTGAGATGCGCTCAAAAATTACAAGAGTTTTCTTTGAGCTTTGCACGCTCAGTAGCTCCCATGCTCGAATGTCATATTAATTAATTATATATTATAAAATTAATAAATGCAAATTGAAGAAATTAACTGTTTAATATATTAAATAACAACTAATTAGCTTATTTTTAAATAATGCAAAATTCATGTGTGAGCTTAAAACGTTTATCGATTCGTCTAAAACTCGGTTATTTTAATTTTTGTATCTTTTTCTAACACAATTTCTATCTTGTTGTTTTTTTCAACTGTTTTCTGCGTGCAACGAATTAATGAAAAATCAATTTTCCATGTTGCATTTTCTCTGCCCTTTTTTTGCACAGCCAAGTTTGACTAATATGCCAAGTCGTTTATTTGTTGATCTAGAATTCGAATGTAGCAACAAAAATTGTTTTCCAAATTGCTTTTTTACGAATATCAAGTCTTTACGACATGAACAAGATCCAACATTAATATAAACAAGTCCAGATAATATTTGTAGATGCATATGAGAAACGCAGCAAGTCGAAGCGAACGGGACGTTTACGAATACAACACAAAGAGAAACTGAATTAACATTTACGGATTCGAAGCAAAGAAGAATATTAAATATATAAAAATACAAATAAGAAAGCGAAATAAAAATGCATATGCGAACGAAACGCTTACGAATACAGCACAATGAGAAACTGAATAAGCGATTACGGATACAACGCAAAGAGGAATATAAAAACTGAAGTCTAATGGATCAGAAAAACAATTGTTTGCTTGATATGTATATCTTTCGTAAATGTTCCATTTATAACAAATCGATCTTATTGTCCAACCTCTTCACAGATCTGTCCTTTATAGTTCCCAGTAAAAATATACGAAACAAAAAAGAATATTACAAATTGAAGTCTAATGGATCTTAGGAAATCGTCTGCGTGCTTTATCTTTCGTAAATATAAAAAAACATTGATTCCATTTATAACAAATTGATCTTATTGCTCAACCTCTTCACAGATCTGTCTTTTATAGTTCTCAGTAGCAAAGTGCTAGCAACTTCAAAGGCAAAAAGATACATTTTATCGTTTCGCCGAAGCAAGTTCTTTAAATTGTTGCCGGGCGAACCGAGCGACCGAACGAGTGCTGCACTGTCAATGGAATTCTGTTGGCTAAATTCGGTTGGGTTTCTTTTGAATGCCTAGAAAATTGTTAAGGTTTAGTTCGTAATTATCTTATCTTTTTAATGAGATTACATTTTATACACATATTTATTTGTCTTTTTTTATAGCGCTTAGTGAGGCCTGCCAAATGTATTGCAAAACCAAACAAAACCGGCGACCAGTTGGGCCAAATAGCTTTTGCAGACTTGTCATATGAGCCAAGAGAGGTTTGTCGTTATGACAGAATCATAAATAATGCTGCCGTAAGGCAAGTGAAACTTTAAGCTCAAGTGATACGACTGTGCAAGTGCGAAATTCGATAAGTGCAAAAATTAAATAAACATGTACACACTCACACACATTTATATATAAATATATACACTTTCATATAAGTATTTTATACTCATATTGTCAAGTATTTGCATTTGTATTTGTATGTGGATCAGACGTCAAAGTAAATATTTAACCCGGCTCTTCGTCAGCGCAGAATATCAATGGATTCGCCATTCCGCTTTGAACTTCGATAAGTGCAGTGCGAAAGCTTGATTTCTTTTCATGTGAAATCCTATATGAGCACGAGTCGGGCAACGTTGTGCCAAAACTGAGCCATCGATAAGGAATCGATAACAGAAACTAAGAACAACTATTCACAATGCAAATGTTATTTTGATAAATTGCATTTATCGATAAATACCAAATGTGGCCAAATTTACGATTCAGCTGATGAATGCTAACAAATCGATTTATACCGATATGAATGTATCGATAAGAATTGCATATTAAATACAGTTCATTCAGAAAAAGCCAACTAAATGTTAAAGCAAAGCCTAATGATAAATATCAATATGTCGATAACACTCGATGACTTGTGAAAAACACTTAAAGCCAACGATTTATCGATATTATTTTCACATGCACTGCCGCTTTCTATTGACACTCTGCCAAATACAATGCGGAAAATTAAAAAAAAAAAGTGGGAGGTGAAAATAGAAAAGTAGACTCGGTCTCTCGGTACTCGGCGTAGAACTCGCACCTCAAAAAATTAACCAATTCAAAAACCAAAACGAAGAAGCAGACAGCGTCCAACGAAGCAAACAATCGGTTTGCGTGTCTGTCGCACACTTTAAATAGTTGTGTCCAAAGCAAAACAGGTAAAAAGTAAGAAACATCACATATACGCGATTTGTCAGGTGTGGGTAGTAACTTAATAAACTCACAAATATGAAAATAAAACAAGAGTTGTGTGTGCTCGACTGGCAGATACCACACATACGTGCTTGAACCTACCTCAGCCGCACACTATGATCTTGTCGGGGCAGAGGATGGCCTGCTTCGAATCCATAAATATACAGTCTATATATAAAATATACAATTCTTGATCAATACGAACATAATATCGAATATACCATACGCATAGATTTTATTATATTTGCGATTACTTTCGATTTAAATCGATAAGAAGTGCTGGTATTCCCATAGATACAAAACTTCAGCCCACTCTGTGATCTTGCTGAGGGCAGAGGTAGGCCTGCCTAGATCCCATATATAAACGGTATATATTTACAAAATATACAATTCTTGATCATTATAAATGAAATATTGATTGTTGAGTAACCATACGCATAGTTTTTATTATATTTGCGACTACTTAAGTTCGGATACTCAGAACAGACGTTTCTTTAAGGTATGTTCCAATGTATCTTAGGGTAACTCGGTGCGAGGCAAACGGACTATCAACTAGCTGGCACTCTCGACTAGAGCACAATTAGTTACATGCTGCTTGTTGTTAAGCTTTAGCTGGTTTATTTCGTTTGCTCGTTTTTCCAAGAATTGGGTTTCTGTGCAAAGCCAAAGAGCTACCAACTACCAACTACCAACACTTTTGACAAATCAGTCAAAAAGACAGAAAGACACAGAGCCAGCAACTCTCGAGACCAAAACGCCAAACATGGTAAACATTTCGAGTGGGTAAAACCATCTCGGGGGTATGGGGCAAGGGGCAAGGGGCGAGGGGAATGGGGAAATGGTGCCTCGTAATAGTTAATCGACTAATGCGCTGATTAGCTTGGCTTTAAGAGTGGCATGATGATCGCAGCGTACCCGCAGTCAGACAAGCCGACGGCTAGCAATGGGTGCGTCATATGCCAAAGGGGGCGGGGCGAGGCGGTAAAGGGAGGGGTGGGTTAGAGGCGGCAGTGCTTGTCAATCAACAAGCAACGCCACTTCTATGGCTTATCTAAAGAAACTAACGCGCCGCTAATCGATCATTCAGTATCTTTCTGCTGTCTTTCTTACTGTCTCTCAGCTGTCTCTGATGTTCTGCGCCAAAAAGAGAGACAGACGGAGAGAGTCAAAGAGAGGGAGAGAGACAGGGAGATCGAGAGAGAGAGAGAGAGATGAAGAATGTGGCTGATAAGCTGCGGCGTTTCGAACTGAAACTGGTTTTTTGAGCATGCGGCAGGGGGCGGCAAAACGATTTCTCAAGCCGAAAAACCAACAACCAACTAACAAAACTGCTCTAGTCGAGAGTGACCGAATGGCAGATACCCTATACACCGCTCTGAATTTATATGCAGCATCCGACCCTCTTCTATTTCAGCTCTAGACTGTACAAAATGCAATTCCAAATAACTTCTGGCTTTATAGTCCGATTTTATATAGCCTAATTAACTCTTATAGTTTAGAAGGTTGTTTATCTTTATTATTTTTTTTTAGAAGGTATAATAGATACCAAAATTTATATCTCCAGCTCATATAATTCCCTAGATATATTTATGATGTAATGATATCCAGTGAAATAATGATATATATTTATTCAAAACTTATCAATATTTATATATATATACATATATATATATATGATACACACAAGCCCACAAGCCTAACTACTAGGTCATGTAATCTCTGATGGATCAGAGATACGCACCTGGTAAAGATTGCTCCTCGGCGCGTTGTCTTCCGCCTTTTGCGCAGATAATTTCACAACTTTATGTTATCCTCTTCTTGTTTTATACATCTTTAATGGGTACAGGGTATATAAAAAGCTAAATGATTCATGCCAAATTCAAATGTAAAAACGATGCGTTGTTTAGTTTCAGCGCACAAGCACGCCGGATATCACAGCTATGCATATGTATATACAGCATACATACATACAAATATATATATATATATATATATGTGTGTGTGTGTGTATGCATACATATAGCCAAAAAAAAATTGTTGCTTTTGCTGGCCGAAAGATTGATCGCATTTCAAACAAGCTGGCGATCAAATTTTATGCACACATAACCCCAGCGCTGAAAAGCCGTTAACATTTTGTGCACACACACACACATACATAGATACAAGCAGAGACACACACACACACACACACTCACTCATTCACTCACTCACACACACTTGTGTAAATATTGTTTACATTTATATTGAATTGCTCAGCGTCAGCGTAAAATTAATTTTTTTTTTACTGTTTTTTTTTTGTTTTTTTTTGCAGCTTTGCATTTTGAAGTTTTGGCTTAAGCTCGAGTTTTAAGAGCCGCTTTGGCATGCGGAGCGCGTTGACATTCAGCCGCAGCATTTGGAGAGCATTTGTTTATTAACCGATATTTTGATTCTCTAAATATAGAAACGACAAAAGCAGGCAGAAAGCAAGGTGTACAAACTTGCAGAAATGAACGTTCCATTTTTACCTATTCCACTGACACTATGCTACAGCCCAGTTCTTTTTTTTTTCTTACTTTTGCCATGTTGACATTTTGAAAACTTTTTGTTTTAGATTTTCTTCATAATATGCTCACATTTTTGAGCGAGGCGATTTCATGTACTAATTCCATGAATTAATGAATTTAAAAAGTAATTAATATAGGGTTAAAATATTTTATTTTATTTATTTATATAAAGTTTATATAGTTATAGTTCTTTAGACAGTTCGAGCGGTTTTGAATTTGAATGGACAACAAAATATTAATATTTCGCTCAATTTTTCTCCGACTACAAAAACTGGAGAACTTCGAGCAAAAACAAATTGTTTCTTAAAGTCTATGTTTACAAGAAACTCCCAATTGTGGATTTCTATCAAGATGACAGCTATACGATATAGTGTTCCGTATCGGAGGACTTCGAAGCAAATACTGCCTTTATTAAAAGAAAAAGAATTGACGTGAAGTTTCAAGATAAACTCAGTTAACCTGATCAAGATTATAAATAAACAAAACTGAATCGAAAATTAATAATTTATGACATTTATCTGATAATAAAACATCTAATCTTAGCTTTGACAAACAGAATGAATGATAATGAAAAAAAGTGCCCTTAGTTGATGTCAAATATTCTCTGCAGCTAGAATATAAGAGACTTCTACAGAGCTTATTCCAAATCATCCCCAATAAATACCGAAAATATCAATAGATGCTACGATTCTGATTAAATAATTACCATAGAAAATAAAATTTGTTGATAAGCTTTGAAAGATACCACGCAATATTTATTCATATGCAAATACCATTTACTTTTGCCCTAACCTTAGCTCTATTCTATTCTACTTCTTTAAGCCATAGACTAGAACTGGAACACTTTCGAGAACTGGCTTTTTTTAGAGTCTCGGCCACGCCTAATCAGACAAACAGACAAACAGACAAACAGACATTCAGAGATCAACAGTTTTTGAAGGTCGCTTTGAGCTTTTTGGGCATTTGCATTTGAAACTGGCCTCGCAGTTTGATAACTAAATACAACTGATTCGACTGTTTTTGTTTTTGTTGTTGTTGTTGTTGTTGTTTTTGCTTCAATCAAATTTGTCACATTGACCCATATATAGAGTCACATAGTCCAACAGCAAACACGAGAGCTCTAGAACAAGCATTCGGATTCGATTGAAAATCAAGGGTTCAAACTATTCACAAAAAAAAAGCCCGAGTTGAATTCCCCACTGTAATGTTACTTGAATGTGTGAATACTCTACAATGCAGTGACAAAATGTGAGCCAGTGTTGTAAAACTGTCGCTAGCACTATCGATAGTAAACATGTTGTTGTTCTTTTTATCGATCAATTAATAGTTTTAATCGAAGTCGTTGAAAGTGCCAAACTAATTATCTTTATCGATAAACGCCTTGGTTATCGTATCAATTTAAGCCTAAAATATTGATAAATATCGGACTACACTTTTGATTAATCGGCTGCACTTTCGTTTCGCCGATTGATGGTAAATAGTATGTCAAGCGATTCTTAAAGTCTGCTTGCTTTTCACAGGGTATCTTTCGGTCGTTATTCAACTCTCGCAATTTAAGGCTCATGTCTGATTCGTATTTACTTTGGCTGTCTGTCTATTTGCTGGCGCAAACATGGAAAGGTGACAAACCTTATGAAGCTAATGAAGCTGACAAAGCCGAAAACAAAATGAGCTACAACTACAAAACGAGTACCCGCAAGGCAACCTGAATAATCACGAATACGAGTACGAGTCTCTCAGTGGCTGTGAGTATCTGGGTGTGAGTGTGCGCGTTCGAGTATCTCAAACTTGGACTTGGACTGTGATTTTGACAGTGACGGCGATACATTTTTGGTGAATGCGTTCAATGGCATCCGAATGTGTGAGGTGCTGATGTGCACTGTCTACCCCGCTGTCCCCTTGTTGCCACCGCCCTCCGAGCATTTGTAGCCAACATAGAGTTAAGCTGTGACTTTGAGCAACAACAGTTTTGATTTGTTTACAACTTTAGTTACACTCAATTTGCGACTGTCACTGCATACCATCAATCACTCAATCAACCAGTCAGTCAATCACTCAGCCAACCGTTGAGTAGGACTTGTCAAGCAACAGCGACAATATTGAAATAAGTAAAAATGATCGCGTCAAGAGTCAACGACTAACATAATATTAAAGATTTTCTCAAACAAACTTAATAGAGTTTTGAACCAAGATGAATGGGATTATCCAAGTTTGATGGAATACAATTTAAAAGAATTTTCATATAGATCTTTCAAGTGGACCATAAAACCGATTGTCCTTAAGCCAAAAAAGTTTTCATCCACAAGTTTTTCACGCTTTTTCCACTCTTAAGAGTGGAAATATAACATATGGTTATATAATGTATTATATATTTATAGTTTAAAACGAATATTCATATAGATCTTTCAAGTGGACCATAAAACCGATTGTCCTTAAGCCAAAAAAGGATTCATCCACGAGTTTTTCACGCGTTTTCCACTCTTGAGAGTGGAAATATAAGATATGGTTATATAATGTACCATGTATTTATTGATTTTGCGATACCGAAAGGAGTTTAAAGTAAAGCTGTTCTACAAATGGCTTTCATAGTCCTCGGAATCGACTCGTTCATATGGACAGAGGGACGGGCATGGCCCGTACAGGGTTTAATTACATTTTGCAGCTGAGTTGACTATTTATGGTCCGTCCACAATGCGACTCGTTGTTGCCTTATGCGAAATCGAAATTGAAAACCAAATCCAAATAGACAGACGCATGCAGCCCACATTCACGCCATATTACTGAGTGTGTGTGTGTGTGTGTGTGTGCTTACATAATTAGTCGTCGCCAAGGTTAACGTCAACGTTAACTAAATGGTCAAGTGCTTGGGGCGTGCTTATCGTGAACACACGTCGCCCGTCACGATTCAATTCCATTCGATGCCTTATTGTGATAAGCGTTAAAAGTACAGTGCGCAATCGTATGCAAAAAGGTTAGTCTGGACATCGATAAGATTGGCCCGACTATCGATATGGGCAAACGCTTCCACGATCGCATTGACTTATTGATCAACTTGAACTTGGACTTCTTGGGTGTGGCCATTCAGTGGGCCATAAATTAGCTGTGAATCATTGATTCAGTATGCGTGTGTGCATTTGAGAATCAATTCGTGAAAAACGAAGCATTCGAGATCACACTGTGCTGTGGAATGCGATGAAAGCAATCAAGTAAATCCTATAAGGATCTAAATGCTGATTAATTTATGTAACGAAATAATTTTGCATATATGTATAACATAGACTAGATTTAGACCAATGCCTATTAATACCGGCAAATTGAATGACATAACTGAATATCAATATGGGGTATGCGAGAGTTCCATGCCCAAGCGTGGAAAATAAGTGGAAAGCTGTTGTGTCATTCTTCTGGCTTGCAAAAGATCAAATGGCGCTGATACTGATTGAAGTTTTACAAATTTCTTTAATTTCTTTGTTAGACACATGCTCTTCCAATGCATTGCTAAGAGTTTCATCTTATGAGGGACTACTGTACATTGTCTTTATTGACACTTGACTACAATCTGAAGCTAGAACTGAGAAAACCACATTGGCTTGACCAACAGGCAAATAGCTTTTTATTCTCTGTTAGCAAATGTTCATACACATGCAATATATATATACATACATATGTATACGTACACGTATGTACATACATACATACGTGTGTACACCTGCCTGCACCTGTTGCTGCTGCTGTTGCTACTGTTATTGTTGTTGTTGTTGTGCATTTGTTTTGTATTTTAAGTGCTGCAGCAACAACAATAACAAACAATAAACATGCAATAGCTTCTCGACTAATAAATTATATTACGCTTATATACATACATACATATGTATGTATGTGCATACATATGATTTCTACCTACACACACACACACACACACACACACACACTTGCATGCGATTGTTGTTGCACTAAGTGACAAGAACAACAGTAAGAGTGAAACTGCCGTTAAAAGGTGCATGCTAAAAATTGATTCTATGTACGTGCGCTCTTTCTCTCTCTCTCCCTTTTCTAACTACTTGGGAATTGTTGCTTGTGTATTGTTTGTTGGTTTTATTTGCGCTACTGGTTGACCTTGACAGGCGTCGGCACACACAAACACACACAAAGACACACACACACACACACACAGGGTGAGCAAGCGCGGTCTCACGCACGAGAGCGCACGTTCGCTTGACTAACATAGAGAGAGCAACAGAGAGAGTGAGAGAATAACATTAACTTTGGCGTTTCTGTGTGTGTACTCACCTTTAGCGGCACTCATTAGATCTTTAACCTCCTTGATAATGCGCTTGATCTGCTGACTAGTGTGATCCAATTCCTTCTCGTGACGATTTAAATTATCACGAAATTCGGGACTATCGACAATGCATTCCTCAAACTCCAATGGCTCCAGGCCGCGGCGAATATCTTTGCCGCCGCCCATCTTTGTTTTTGTTCTTGTTTTTGCTGCTGATGCTGCTGGTGCTGTTGTTGTTGATTTTGCTGTGCTGCTGCTGAAATTTGTTTTATGCTTAATCTTATTGTTGATGTTGTTGCTGCTGCTGTTGTTGTTGTTGTTGTTGTTGCTGCTGCTGATATTGATTTGGGAGGCGTTTGAATTGTTGCGCCGAAAGCGACGACGCACAAAGTAAATGTGTTTGTTTTTTAATTTGCCTTTAGCTGCAGCTGCTGTTGTTGTTGTTGTTGTTGTTGAGGCGGCTGCTGTTGTCGCCGTTTCGCTGTTGCTTTGCTGCTGTAGTGGTAGCTGTTGTTGCTGTTGTTGTTGTTGTAGTTGTAGTTGTTGTTTATTAGTAGCTGTTGCTGTTGCGTTATAATTGTTATATTTCTTTTTATTAGTATTTGCTGTCTGCGGCTCATTAGTATTTATATTTGTATTTGTGTTTAAATTAATATTATTAATATTGTTATTATTATTGTAATTATTTTTGTGTTGCGTCTGCTTCATAATTTTAAGCAAAACAAAATTATTAAACGAAATATTTATATAAATATATATTAATATAAAATTAATATGCACAATTTGTTGTGTTTTTTGTTTTGTTTTAAAACATTAATTTTTTAGTTTCACTTGTTTTAATTTTTTTTTTTTGTCAAACGAAAGAAATGCAAAACAAAATTTGCGGCACTGCAAAAACAAAAGGAATTTTAATTAATACTCACACACAGCACACACGAATAATGCAGATACATGCACATGTGCATACATAGAGATATACATATATGAGACAATTGTGATTTGTTACAATTAAGAAATAATAAAAATAATAATAATAATGAAAATCACAAATAACGGTTTTTGATTCGTTTCCATTTTGTTAAGCGCACACAAAAGCAAAACCAGCCGAAAAAAATCACATTCAAATATATATATGTATGTAGATTATATTAAAAAAAATAATAACAAAATATGCATGTATGTATGTAATTATGTACATGGTGTTGGGCGACTGTGTAAACAATAACAATAACATTTAACATTAATAAACGGCTGCGTCTTTATTATTACTCGTAATACACAAATAGCAAACACATTATAAAAGCAGGCAAAAAAAATAGACACACACACGAAAAGCAAGCCACATACATGTGCATGTGTAGTAAAATAATTACTTGTAGTACTAACTTTTTTTTCAAATGCTCAATATGAAGAGTGCAGCTGCAGCTGCAGCAGCAGCAGGAGCAGCAACAGCAACAGCAACAACAACAACAGGCTATTTAGCTAAAGGCGCAGCAGCGCCAGAGACGCAAGAGCGAGAGAGTGCGCAGTCTAAGCAGCGCAAAGAGCGGCTCACACGCTCACTTGCTCGCTCAGTCACTCACGCACTGATGCTGCTGCAGCAGCCGAAAACGTCAAGTCATAATAACGTTTATGCGTCTCACATAGTCACCAGCTATTGTTATATTTTTTTATTTAAAATATAATTGCAGCCAAAAGAATGCGAATTGTTACATTTTTTAAATATTATTTATAAATTTGGAAATTTTATAATTTTTTGAACTTTCATTCAGACAATAATAAATAATGGAAATATTTGCAATGGCTGATCGTATTATCGGACACTGCATAAACGCAAATATTTTTAGCGAAATTCATGTGGCGGCCGCTATTGCTGCCCTGCTTTCGTTATTGTTGCTGTTGTTGTTGTTATTATTGCAGTTTTTGCTGTTGCGGCTGCTTGCAATTTGACTTTGGTTTGCAGTTACTTTTTGGTTTCCGTTTGCTGCAACTAATTTCATTTGCTAAAAATCAAATTTCGCTCAAGTACACACAAACACACGCACACAAAACACTCTGACACTCGCACACTCACACATATCCATGCATTCGCCGCCGTTTTTAGCAGAAACTTGTTGAATATGTACGTAAAAAAACTGGTTGCGCGACATCAACTACAAAGGCGCGTTCAGTTCGGCACATACACAATGCACACATACAAACACATACAGACACACACGCACACTTTCAACAACTGAAACTGCACTGCATATTTTCGTTGTTTATATTTATATTTTTTATGATTTAAGCTCTTTTTGTTTGAATAGTTTTTGCCAATTTGCACACAAACACTCACACATACACATCAGCGCACACTCACGCGCGCACTTGGTCAAAAAGTGCGACATGAACTTTATTTTCCCACATGTGTATTCCACAAAACGGGAGAAAAAATGCAAAAAAAAAATACAAAAAAATTGAAAATAATTAAAACAACAAAATTACACACTTCATTGCATAATTTCAGCTGCTGTTGCGGCGGCTGCTGCTGCCATTTTGATACGCGCGATCAAGTAAATACGCGTATTTCAAACGCAACACCGCGGCACACACGAAAAAAAAACAACAAAATGCAATTGTTGGCCGTCGGTCGCGCGACGTCGTAGTCCGTTCACGGCAAAAATCCAACAAGACACAATCGAAAAACAACAAAAAAAATAACAGCACACGTTGAAGTCAACCAAGGTATGACTATGCGCCGAGCCGTTATTCAGCGTTCTCTGAGAGCGTCAAAATATGCGCATGTGACGTCACGTGTGATTATTATTAAGCTTGTGCATACATCAATTCGATTTATAGCAGCTCTCCAATACTTTAAAACAACTGACACTTTTACTCGCCATTATGCCACAAGTTATTTAATTGTACAGTTACAACATTTGAAGCCATTTAATGTAAATGTGTGACGTCACGAGCATGTATGTTACTCTCCTGTTAGCCTCCTGTTACGGCGCTGTTTTCATGTAATTGCCAACATTGCGCGCATTCATCGTACTGTTGCATTCAAATGATAAATTATAGTTTGACAATCAACGTATTTTCGGAGTACAATCTAAATTAAACTATTTATAATCGTATTTATTTGAAGTTTGACGAATACAAACAAGTATGCGTCTTTTACGTCTGTTTACTTAACAGCCGGTTTTCAAAAGTGTTGCTTTGCCGATTTATCGATAACGTCATGCAGTCATACGTTACGTTACTCATTCTTGTTGACGTACCAAGCTTCCTGCATTTGCCGTTAGGTGTCTCCACAATCTTTTTGCTCACTTTTGTCGTCGAAGCATCCGTTAGAAATAATTCTTAATACTGAGTTAGTTACTCTAGTTAATCCCCCCCACCCCAAACACACAACAGACTAAATCACGAATAAATGCATTGATTTAGCGGAAGGCCATTAAAGAAATCGAGTTTTAAATGTAATTTATATTTTGTATATTTTCAATATGTATATAATAATAGCAATTACACAAAATAATATTAATAGACAATAATAATAATATAATAATAATCATAATAGTACAATAATGATCGGTATATATTTATTAATTCATATCATTATTACATCGCCTCTCGACGATCTCCAAATGAAATCATACATTCAACATGCAAACATACCAAAAAAAAAAAAGTTTTTTTTAAAAAAAAAACAATACAATATGATGGAGAAATTAAAGAAATAATTAGTGACACTGCTAGTTTTGATTTGAATCATAATTATATGAGTTATTTAATTAGGAATTAATGGATATAATTTACGTACGCCTCGATCCCCCACAACTGATGATCGCTCAGAAGTTTCTGAGGGACGCTAGTTGCAATGGTCAAAAAATATATTTTTATAAAAAAAAATAAATAAAATTAATAGATATATATATATGTATATATATGCGCATGAAGAGAACAAAAAATAGATACATAAATAAAATATGCTTGCAGTGGCATGTTTTGAATATTCTCTATTTATGTTTATATACCGTTAGCATATAATAGCTCGAATTGAATTTTGCTTCAATATTTTCTGGTTGATTCGTTATGCGAATTGGAAAGTTTTCTAGTGTGTTTGTGGATCGTCGATCGTATTTGTGGAACGCAAGAAATTTCTAAATTAAAAATTATCTGTTAACGTTGCATTTTTATTATTTTATATATATATACATATATAAATATATATGTATACATATATATATATATATATTTATATATTTTATATATAATGTAATTTTTATTTCTTTTTTAACGTGCTACGTTAATTATTTTTTCTTTGCTTTTTTTTGTTTTATGTTTTTTTGCTTATTATTTTTTATGTAATTGTTATGTTTTTATTTTCACATAAATTTAATATAATTTGCTTTAAGTTAAAATCTTTACTTCTTTAAGTAGTAGAATGTTTCGTGAGTTTGTGTTCGTTTTCATTAGCTTTCACATCTTTCATCATTTTTTATACAAACAAATTACAATTTCATTAAATTTCGTTTTCTTTTTGTTTCTTTTATCAGCAGTAATATTTAGTGTTTGTGTGTGGTGAGATTTGGCAAAAATGGCAAATATTCAACGATGGTGAATTTGCTTCGTTTTCACCTCGCTCTCTGTTTCGCTCTTAGCTCGTTGCTGCCAAATTTGCTATTTTAATTAAATACATTTTAAACATTAACTGTGCCTGCTGTTGCATTTTAATAAATATTTTTAAAGTTTCCTTCGGTTTGTTTTTTTTTTTTGTTTTTGCTAATTGCAAAAGTGCTTTACGTTTTGTTTATTAGATGTTGCGTGCATCATATGATCATATACACGTGTATATAATTCTCCGATATTGTTTTTTTTATTATTTATAATTAATAAATTTTATTTATTTAATTTGTATTTATATTTGCATTAATGTTTATATATTTATACGTGTCTGTGTGTGGGTATTTGTGTGTATGTGTGGTGTTTTTTTAATGATTTCTTTGTGTTTATTTTTTATGCTTAAAATGTAATAATTTTAATAATAATAATAAACTACGACCATTTTTTTTTATTTTGTTAGCTGAACACTAGTTTTTGTTGTTAGCGTAAACGTTTCTTTGTTCTTGTTATTCTTCTCCTTTTCTTTTAAGCTTATGTTGTTGTCGTGTTCGCTCTGACGAAGTTGTTGTTGTTGTTGTTGTTGGAGCTATTTTGAGGCATTCGCTTAATTGCTTTTGTACCTGTTGGGTTTTTGGACATAGAAAGGGAAAGAGCATGTATTAGAAAGAGATAGCGTGAGCACGGCATCATGTAAAAATTGCAACTTTTAAAATGTTTAACAAATGCATTCGATATAAATAATTACGAATGAAATATTTTGGATTATGAAAAGTTGAAAGATTTACAATAATAAATAAAATGAAAAAATAAATTATAATAAAATATTACAACAGAAAAAAAGGAGGCAAGCAACTAACCGAATTATTGTTTCTGTCAAAGGCAACTTTTTGGTGGCTCAACATTATGAACAAAAAAATGGATATATATATATATATACATATATATATGGGTATACATATTTCACTACGCGTGTTGTTGTTGTTGTGTTGGTGTTTTGTTGTTGTTGTTGTTGTTGAATTGGTCGGTTTTGGCGCTCATGCAAAGGATTAATGAATGCGGCATTCAGTTGTCATTGTTTATGTTTTTGTTGTTTATGGTGTTGTTGTTGATGCTGTTGCTGCTGGTTGTTGTTGTTGTTGTTGTTGTTGTTGTTGTTGTTACAGCTACAATTGTGTTGTTGTTAGATGCCTACATATACGGATAGCCCATGTTGCGTCCTGCCGCTGCTGCAGCCGCTGCTGCCGCGCCAGGTGGATAATTTGTGGCATATTGGGGCGGTATGCCCATTGCTGGACCAGCTGTTATCATCAGCTGCGGCTCCATTTGTATTATGTTTTTATGCTCCGTTGTGTCGTCCTCCTTCTCGCGTTGCGCCTCATTTAGCTCCAGTTTATCCACCTTGGTGGTATACTCGCGCAGCACCTGCAAAATTCATTCAAACATAAATTAAATCGTGTTGTATTTGGAATGTCTTTAACTGCAGTTAATTACCTGGATCAAGTAGGGCATGGCAAAGTCCATGATTTTATGTTTCCATGCCAGTTCCAGGATGACATCGGGACGCAGCAAATCGTAGCACTACAGAGGATCAAGAGAAAATATTTGTTATACATAGAGCTCAACATTAGCGAAACGAAGACTTGACCGCACCTGATATAGGCATGCCGCAAAGCAATCGTGTGCGTTGCGCTCCAGGAACCAGCCCAACAGCTCCTCAGCAATTTCCTGTTTGCCAGACTCGGCGGCATACTCCATAGCATCCTTGTACAGTTTGTCCTTTTTGCACAGCTCAACGCTCTGCTTCCAGCGGTTGTTGCCTGCATTGAATCAAATGTTTATTCAAGAATCAGTTTAATGTAATCATGGTAAGCATGAAAATGCCCAGTTGATAGTTACCCTTGTAGAGATAGGCTGCAATGCGACGGAATTCGGTGAGCTCGTGCTTCTCAAGCTTCTGCGCCAGCGCAATGGTATCAAAGTTGTCAAAGCCATCGATGGAGTTGCGCAAGCCCTGGTAATCCTCCTCATCGATGAGCAGTCCATTAAGCGCCTCGTTGATTGCCTTGTTGTTGAGCGACTGTACGGAGCGCAAATATGGTTTGACCAGCGGCAGGTAGCCCGTCTTGGAGAAATAGCTAACGGCACGGGTGTGATCCATGCGTGGGGCTAGCACGAGTAGCATATCGTTCAGGAGCAGCGGCTTAAAGTCCAAATAGAATTCGATGGCCTTGTAGTACAGCTCAATGTTGGCCACCTTGGTGATAATGTCCTTGAAGTGGCCCTCGCGCCACGCCTCCGTCGGATGGGCCATCATGGCGAGCACAGCGTTATCATATTCCTCATACTTGTCATAGAGAAAGACCAGCTCGGACCACAGATGCGCCGATTCGGCGGCACGCAATACCTTCGGTATATTGACACGCGACCAGAACAGCTCCAGATGCTCGCGCATCTTAGATGGCTTAAACTTGGAATAGAGTATTGCCAATTCGCTGAACATGCCCATGTGTGCGCGCTCCAAACCAAGCGCCGATTCCAGCAGCGCAATTAGCTCCTCGAAATAGCCACGATTCTGATAATAGTTAATCAAATCCTCGAGCTCATCGGCATGTACAACAATATGCAGGCCGCACATTTGCGCCAAACGAAACTCTTCGGCATCGACACACGCAAAACAGACCTCCTTCCAGGTGCGCGTCGAGTTGGCTTTGCGTGCCGAATCGACAGCGCCCTGGAACTCCTTCAGATAGACCAACGTAATGGCCAAACGGGCAAAGTTGCTAACATTGTTGTACAACAATTTGGCGGCATCGTACATGCCATCGCTGAAACAGCGATCGCCAATCTTTTGTATGTCCGCATGATTGGGGCCCGAGATGAATTCCTCGAGATCGGCCAGGCGTCCGGTGCGGGCATACGCATAAATCAATTCGCTTTCAATGTAGGATTCGCGTGCCTTCTTGCGTGCCATTTGCAGGTATCGCACCAGATCATCCCACGATTCCACTTTGCTGGCAACATCAACGACATCCATATAGGCACTGGGATCATCTGCCTTGATATAGGAATCGATTGCCTCCTTGACCAGGCCCTGTTGCAGCTGAGCCTTGGCCAGCTGTGACCATACCGCCGGCTCGTTACAGCGCTCGGCAAACTCGTTGGCACGCTCCAAATTGTTGACCTGATCGATTAGAACCTGGATGGCCGAGGTGTTCACATCAAACTTCTTGAATATGGCGAACGCCTCTTCGTACAATTGATTGCTAATCGCAATGTTGGCAATGTCTGGTGCATCGTAGTTGTCCAAACGGTTGATGTAGTCCATGACGCGTGTGCGATCCGCCTTGATGGCGGTCAGGATGAGCAGATTCTGTAGATTGCGATGATCGCTAAACACCGAAGAGTCCAGTATGATCTTTTCGAGCAGTTCGATCAGCTCATTGGGCAAATCGGCGGTCATGAATGCCTTGACCGTAACAGAGATATCATCCGGATCCTGTGTCTCGGACAGAGCTGTCTGCACCACCTGATCGATGAGCTGACGCTTGTAGGGATTGGCCTCCGATAGGACCTCAGCCCACAGTTCAGCATCGCGACGTCCAACCAGATAGCGTGCCTCGCTCTTGAACAGCGAGTTCTCATTGCAAACGGCGATCAGCTCCCGATCGCATTGACCACGCTCGTAGGCGACACAGGCCAAGTGCGGATCACGCTTCTCACAATAGCGGCCAACGACGCGACTATCATAGTATTGATTCTCTTTGAGGAAACGCTCCGGATTATTGTTGGAATCAATGTAGATTTTGGCCAAGGCATTGTGTGTGGCCGGCTCAACGCAACCTTCGTGGACGCGCGATTCCAGCCAGGGCAACAGCAATTTTAAGCGATTGCGCTTCTCCACCTCTTCAACCAGCTCATCCGTTGAGAATTGACCTTTGACAACCAATATGAGGTTCTTAATAATATCCTCACTGCAATCGACATCCAAAAGACCGCCAACAACAACCGGCAAACGCGATGGATTCACCTTCTGCACATAGATCTCAATATATTTTTGGAGATTGTTTCGGTAAAGATAGAGCACCAGATCGTGAACAAAATCGAAACGATCACAGACAATTATCAACGGCAATTGATCTGTCAATTTGGCCTCCTTTAGGAAGTTCTTGACACGCTCCGGATTATAGCAATTGGATTCGCGACAGATGCGCTCCACCTCCTTGATCTGGTTGGTCTTGCAGGCGGCCTGGATATACTTGAAATGCACCTCTGGATCCTGCGAGAAGTTCACAATGCTGCTCAAAAAGTAAAAGAGACCGTCGTAGCTCTTAAAGCTCTCAAACAGATCAATCAGCGCCTTGGTTGTCAGCTGCTCGTGATATTTCGTTGCAATCTGTACGCAAATCTGCAAATTCTGGCGCAAATTAGCCGTTAGCATGGCCTTCAGGCACTCCAGCGAATCCTCGACGGAGAGTGTGCCAAAGAAACTGACCAGCCATTCGGCATTCAGCATATGTGTGTGAACAACGGCACGCTTGATGTCATACAGATCCGTATAGTGTTCCAGAGCGCGCTGCAATAGGCCGGCCTTCTCGCACAGCTGGGCAATGTGGGCGCGATCGTAGTGGGTGAACATGGCGTTGCCCAGTATGGCATCCGCCACCTGCGGCGCCGACATTAAATTCATTTCAAGCAGACGCGTCTGCAGGGCACCCTCAGCGGGACGATTATGCTTGAGTGCGTCCAGTAAAAAGGCTGTGCATTGTTGCACCATTGAATGCTCCATAAAGATGTCGACAATTTGATTGATATCGGCCAGGGGCTCCTCCTCAGCGACCAGCATAGAGGCAAAGCCTGCGCCCTGTTCCGGATTGCTGCGCATCACGGAACGCAACAGGAATATATAGTCGGGTGTATAGTTAACCTTCTTGGCGTAGAGCACGATCTTTTGGAATTGGCCCGTTTCGGCAAAGCATTGAATCACCTTGTTGGGCACATTGGCGCGCAGATAGATGGACAGAGCGAGTGTTAGATCCGATGTCTTAACAAGATCACCCAATTCCTCGCTGCACTCGAGCTTCTCCTCCTTCAGCCACTTTTCGCACAGCTGCTTTTTGCCCTGCAGTAGCACTGGACGGCACAGTTCCAACGATTCGAACTTGTTCAGTTTACCCTGATCCAGGAGTATGCCAAAGTATTGCAATAGCGGCGGCGTCGTTGAGCCCGCCGGCGTCTGCACCTGCTGGAAACGTTGAATCGTTTGCGGTGTACGCAGAATGCCCTTTGGGGCCAATGCAGCCACCTTGGCGGCTTCGGCATATTGACCGGCGCCAAAGAGTTTATTGAATTTACGAACAAACAGATCCTCGGCACCAGCCAAATTGTTGCGCACAGCCATGCGCAGTGCGAGATCGGGATTTTGGAGAACTGTATTAATATAGGGTATTATTTGCTCCTCGTCAACGGTCACGGACAGCACTTGACCCTTGCGATTGACGCCAATGATGCCGCCGCTGGCCTCGTGCGGTGCGGTCACAAAAATCGTATCGGCCGATATGCGATTCATGTAGATGCACGTGGCCGTTTCCATATCGTACAGATGGATATATCCATATTTGGTTATCAAATAGATGGTATCGTACTTGGCGGAAACTTGCATCGCTACCGGAAAATCATTTTGCGCCTCCGGCGGAAAGAATACATCGACGGCCTTCTTCGGGAACGGCTGATTGCCATTGGGCGGTGTGCCGACCTCAATGATGTGCAGCTTGCCACCGGTTGCGGTGCGTACGGCAAAACAGAAAAGCGTTGTCGGCTCCTTGTTGCCCTCGATCTTGAAGGTGGCAAAGCTGGCGGCATGACCCTCAATCGCCTGCGACACCTTACGCTCGACGGAATACAATTGCATGGCGCCAGCGACACGACTGGGCAGCGCCGAAATGCCAACAAGGAGCAGCCACTGCTGCGAGGCATTGCATCGGTAATTGATTATCTGACAGCCATTGAGCGAGGAATGTCTATCGAACATTTTCTGTGGCATCGAATCGCCCTCCATCGACCAATGAAAGACGCTCGTCTCGGTGACCAGGGCGAGCGTATTGAGCGATATCCATTTCCAGAATACCACATCCTCGTTCATCGTGTGCGCCTTCATTTTCGATTTCATCTCAATGTTGAAAATCTGCAGCGTCTTTTGCGCTATAGACACACAACAAATAGTTAGGTAAAGCTTCAATTTGTATGGGATAATATAGATTGCTTACCTTTCAGCGCAATCACCTTGCTAGCCGGATTCATAATGGCCGAGTCCGCTGATATGGGACGGCGCGTCGGATTCGAGGAGTCGTTCATATCAATGATGACCACCTGGGCGGTATCGTTCGTCTTCTCGCGCACACAAATGAACTTATCCGATTCCATTGTGAGCGTGCTGAATGAGAAGGAGTTCGGATTGATGCCGACATTTGTGAGCTGCAGGGATTAAGTATAAGCAAACAATGGGAATAAGTTACGCTGTAGAAAAGTGCACTTACATATATATGTACATATATCTACTAGCTAGTTGTTATTCTAATTGCAACACTTTTAACTAACGGATTTTCAACCATTCTCCACGCTTGGGTATTATTTAAAATCATTAAATGGCGTCTAAAATTAAATTTCTGCAGATATAGTTTGGGTGTGAACAAGATATTTAAATGAATTAAAGGCCGATCCGATGAAAACTAAAAGTTATATAAAAGAGGGTTGTTTCTGATATTCTGAGACCTTACGAGTAGATTTTCAAAAAACCGTGAACATCGTAATAATTATTCTAAGAAAATATTTAATCCGCAATTTTAATTTCCTTGAAAAGATACTTTCGATTCGAAAAGGTTAAGACCCTTTTCCAAACAATTTCTAAAAAATCTTTGAAAGTGAGCTCGGAGCCTATTGGAACCCAATCAGTTACCACCCTTTTTCCACAGTTACGGGTGGAATATTTTAAAACCCAAACCACCAAGGTAACTGCTGGTCAGTGCATCTAGAACTCTTCTCCGTTTATTTTTCTGCCTCTCCTAGCTCTCACGTGCGTTGATTTGTGCGTTAAACAGTTATCGGTCAGTCAATCAGTAATTCAGTTTAATACTTATGTGTGCATACTTATATAGAGATATACAGTCACGTTTCGCGTTTTGCGTCTAGACGTACAGAGGCTGAACCCAAAGATCATCATTATCGATAATCGTGATCAGCCACCCTCGTCGAAATCTTTGAAAGAAATCAAGAATATGAAACGCAAATTCTCACAAAAACAGCCCCTCTACTAAAAGCCCCCTCTCGCTACAGACCAAGCCCAGTAGCTGATCGTCGTCGTAGTCGTCGTCTGGTCAATACTTATGGTAAACAGAGACGAGAAAAGTTCAAGGTTCTGCGATCGATTAGGCCATCTCTCTCTCTTTCTCTCTTTCGCTTTTGGGTACATAAAAACAATTTTATCGTTGATAGAGCCAAGGCAGATTTTATATATTTCTGGCGCCTGTTGTACAAATAATATATATGTTAGCGCGCGTGTAAATGTAGTATAAATGCAATGCACTCAAACAAAGAAACTCGCTAATGAAACAAAGAGAAAATACAGAGAAAGCAACAATTTGAGATTGTTCTTATATGTAGGTATATTTATATATGTATGCACATATAAATATAAGGAACCACCCCAAATGGCGTTTTAACATTTTATTTTTATTATTATGCTATATACGAATTGAACAATAAAGATAACCCAGATAGAAAATAAAAATGTTCGATTGATAAAGTCTCTGCACATAGATTATAACAATCGAAACTTTTTATAATATATTTATCTAACATAATGTAAATATGCATTATATGAGTATATACCAAGTAAATGCTGTTATCTCAGGTGTGCCAACGATTAAATACCTCTGCACGCGTACGTACTTGTACTGCGCCGCTAAGCATGCGCATGCGCCTTTCTCGGCGATTTTCATGAATTCAAATAATGCACACAGGCTATTTTTTTTGCTTTTTTTGCTAGTGATGTATCAAAAGTTCACTAGTAATGAAATATGCTGATCCCATAATCTCACTTTCAAACGCCTCGCCTCAAACATGGATCGCACTTCTTTACATGCAACATTCAAAAGTTAAAATTGTGTATGATGGTGGTTTGTTATACTCTAGTTTTTGGTGATCACATACTTATAAAGCGCTTTGCTTGTGCTCCTGTTTTTATATCTTGTCTAGCTATAAATAGGGGAGTGTAACTTTCATTTTAAGTTAATATTACTGCATAAAGTTAACTGTCTGTTGGGAGCCCAAGATGTCAAACAATACGGAGCAACATTTGTTGTATGCATCGCTGATAAGGAAAATACAACAAGAAAAGCCCATTTATCAGTTTAGGGTAATCGTTGTTGTTCGCATTTTTACTGCCGTTGAAGCTGTATCGGTGCCTGGTACATACACCCCATAAAAGAGCAGCAAAAGACCAACAAAAATAATCTTTTAAAAGATTTCATTTTTATAAAATATATATAAAAGCGGTTGACCAAAAAACAAAAGTCGTATATGTACATTTATATATCTGTATATGTATATGTATATGTATATATAGAATTTAACATTTAAGTGCGGTTTTATTGTAGCCTTTTAACCCATGAGTTTACGCTAATCTCAGTAGAAATGTGTAACAAATAAGTTGTTTGTTCCGACTGAATCATCGAAGCGCAATCGGTAATGCATATAACACTACAAAAATATTTTCCCAATTACTAACTGTTTAACTGTTTAGTCTTAATCTTAGTCTTAGCGCAAAATCGATAAAATAAATATAATTATTAGCAAGAGATTTGATATAAGTTTATAGAATTACATTGCATGAATAATATGTGATTATTGGTTTACTAAATTTACTATATGAAAAAATAGGTACTTAACAGATAACCAATATATGTGTGTATATCAAAAATAACAAATTTTAAGGCTATTATTGCAGTGGAAGCTGTGAAATATAGTAGTCCGATTTTGATAAGATTTAACCAATATGCTGAAAGTTTTATGAGAAAAGAGGAGAGCGGTTTTAGATTGCATTCTGACGAAGAATTCATATACTTTCCTCTATGTTAGGGTAAAGAAAGCAAAATAGAAAGTTTAAGCTAACAAAGTAACACAGAGAGAGAGAGAGTGAGAGAAGAGAGCGCAAGCCATAGAGAAAAAGAAACGAAAAATGAGGGGCGTTAATTGCTAAAATGTACATATGTATATACGCGTATGCACAATCTACACATCGACTTGGTGTATAATAAATGTGAAACTGTGTTGTGTCACTGGAATAGTGTGAAACTACGCGTAGAGCGATTATCAATCGATATTGACCTTTGCAATGTAACCAAACGCAGCTAAATAATGAAAATACTAGCACGCTTTCCTTGATAACGTTCATAAATAGATACGATATTTGGGTGATTCGCAAATGTTGCTTAGTTTTTCTATACCGCGTTTTCATGTTATTTATGTCAATTACAAATTAACATATGCTCGATTCGCACTAAGTGCGAGAGACGACACATACACAAACGCACACACACACACACGCACACACACACACACACACACACACACACACACACACACACACACACACACACACACACACACACACACACACACACACACACACACATGCATAAAAGACGGTATAGTGCGTGCTCCATAATCAAATTTAGTCTACACGCCCCGCTTAGCACTTGCGCTGCGAGCGCAGTGGACCACGATTTACAGTAGGGTGTCTCATGCGTATAAAATTTATCGAGGGTCGACGATAAGCAACGACTAAATATAAACCGAAATATACATCAAGTACACAGAACAAAAAGAAAATTGTCATTCATATTTTGCATTAATAACCAGTTGTAAAATATATAAAACGGCATGTTAGAATTTCAAGAAAAAAATATGTATATATGTTTATGAAAACAATATTATGCATACTGGAGACAAAAAGTTATATTGAAGCCAAAAATATCGATATGCATAAAGTCAACAATCTCTACGAGGAATATAACATTGTATACGAGTCTGGGCAAATCAGGCCAAAGATTAGATAAACAGTTCGCCCACAGAGTGAATCGCCCTAATGCGTTGAGCCTGATATTCTGACTTGGATACAAGTAAAATTAACAATGCCGTTCGACTGACGACAATATGGGCAGCACCATACATATGTAAGTTCATTTGTACATGCCAGCACGCACATAGTAACTGTAAATATTACTGCCTTCTCTGATTACTTGTGCATCTCTCTGACACACACACACATACAGCAATGAGAAGAAAACGGTTTAAAAAAAATCTTTGATTTATTCAATCAAAACGACGACAGCGAGCAGCTAAGCTTGAGTTACAACATGCTTTAGTGTGGTGAATGTGTGATATATTAGTGTGTGTGTGTGTGTATTGTGTTTGTTTCCCCACACCATAAAAACGCATTGGAAGAGTGGGAGTGGTATATGTATGTAGGTGAAATACGTAACATGTTGCTGCTATAACCGCGGCTAGGCAATGAACTCCCACCTGCCTTTGCTGCACAAATTGTAGCAAGCAGTTTAAAAAAATGGACCACAGTTTACATTACTCCACTTGAAACGCTTAAGTCTACGATGCAGTCAGCAATCCCTTTGAATCAAAAAGAAACAAAAAACAGAGAGTTCGTCATTACAGAGAAACCGGTTTAGCAATACACCAATACAAATACCCAACAACTTCACCTCGTGCAGGTGTGCGTAAGTATACGTGCATACATGTGTTTATGTGTGTGTATCAGCCGGCATTTGTCACCGGCAGCAACTGCTGCTTTTGTAAGCTCTTTCATTTGAAACCTGCATATGTATATATATATATATAACATACATGTATAAGTAATTTTAAATAACAACAGTTGCATTTTGCATGCATTTAACTGTAAAACAACAGCAATCCACCATAGATAAAAGCTGAGCAAAACGGAAAGAGAAAGAGCGCGAATCTCCCAATTGGAGCAAGTGCCGCCTTTTCGGTTCGACTTGCCATGGACGAGTTTATCAGCAACATTCACCCAACTCAGCGACACAGCAGCGAGAGCGTGAGAGTAAAAAGAGGCGACAGGCAGAGGGGTCTACCGGCCTGAGTGAGCGTGACTCATTCGACCATTTCGCAAGCCTGAAGAGTCAAACAAGCGGAGAGCAAAACGATTTGACTAGTTTTTTTTTACCGAGAAATTTCATTAAGAAATTAATACATACAGTGGTTTACAATTTGCTGTTAAGTAAATTTGAGAATGAAGCCAAAGATAATTTCAGCAGAAATCTCTAGAGTAACCAAACAACAACAAAGTCTATTAAACCTAGTTTTTAAAAAGAAAATTTAATAATTAATGTAAATGACAAATTGTTTTTAGTGACCTGTTTAGTATTAATTAAATTAAAGCTGACCGGGACGAAATTTAATTCATATAATTATGGTATAAACATACTAAAACAAACTAACTACGCATTTTTATACAGATATGAAAATTTGAACACGATCTAGAAATCTATTTTGAGATCAATCTTTTGATAGTGTGGTTTCATAAGGAGTACAGCAAGGCAAATAATGCTTAGATTTTTAGACACGTTTATAGTCGATAGTTATTAACATGGATTTGAACCACAGTAGAGTGTGTTCCTTTATTCTAATAAGAATATGGTAAGCGGCGCTTGGGTGGGTCAACAAGTGGTTTTCCCCGCCACACAATCCACTTAACGCACACTTGCACAATAAGACCAGAATCTGACTAGGTGCCTCATTCAACAGAAATAGGGAACCAAATACCCTTACCGTAAACAAGTCAGAAAAATGTACTCACCTGTAAATGCTCTTGAAAGCGTATGGGTAACGGTTGCGTCATCTTGACGGACTGCTATTTTGGCTCTCTGCTTGGGAGTTGCGAGTTGTTGTTTGCTGCTCCTCTGCTCACTGCTAACTTAGTTGCTGTAGTCTCTTCTTCTTTTTGGTTTAACGAGAGATAACACACGCACTTTTATTATTGTTGATAAAAGTTAGTAAAAAAAAACGGGAGAGAATACGAATACTGTTGTCTGCGTCAACGTTGACGTTGACTTTTGTTGGTTTTTTTATGGTTCTGATCTGCTTTTTGTTTGGTCGTTCGTTGTTTTTGTTGGTTTCTTATGCTGATTCGTCTCGGTTTTAATTTTTAGCAATTTCGTTTCGCGTTGCTTGTGAAGACACACCAAAAACTGTGCAATGGAGAAAAAAAACGAAAAACAAAAAAATGTTATATATATATATTTAAGTATTAATTGGGATACAAAGTATTTGTTGCTGTTGTTATCACTAGAAAGTAAGCGGTTGCAGCGCAACCGCCTCTTCAAGCACGAAATATGCCGCAACAGAAGAGCAACGTTTATCCCCACACTCACATACACACACACTCACACACGCACAACCGAAATATACCGAAATACTCTCTTGTTAAATGTTATTTTTGATTAACAATCAATCAATAAATGTACGTACAATTTGTAGTATTATTCACTTGAATTTTCACATATTACTTGCGCACGACCGTTTGTCGGCAAATACAAAAAAATATTAATGAATCGACACGGCCGACAACACTGACAGACACAATAACAAGTACGAGTCAGTGACAGAACGGCCCCTATGGTGTGTTACAGCGAAACACACCACAGCTGCGATTTGCCGTTTGTGCTTGTATTGGTGCATGACAAAGTCAAATACTGAAATGTCAAAATGCGCGCCGCATAAGTGTGACCATACATTTATTGCACAAAATATATATAACACAAACCATTGACTAAGGCATTGTGAAGTATAATCGTTAAATGGGAGGTAATTATTTTCATTAGATTAATCTATGTCCCTCATTCGTCTTAACATGAGCCAACACTGCTGCTTGCTCATAGCTCACCACACTGTCAGCCATGTTGAGTTGCGCTCCGACACACTTACACACACTTGCATGCTGGTCGTACTCATGCACACATATACACAACACACTTGCATATTAACGTGTGAGCAGTGAAAAAATTGCTTTGCCATGTACATATGTATAAAAAACACTTTTTGCATTGATTTTTGCCACGCAGCAATATCCACAAGAACTTTAATAATGAAGTTCTGGGAAATTAAATGTTAAAGCCCCCAAATTTCCCGCACATAACACGACAAAGCAGCTTATTTACTTTGAACACGTATGCCACATAAACAAAAAAATTGTGTTAACATGAAAAACACCGCCCACTAACACTTTGACATAGGCATAGGGCCAAAAATACAGTTTTTTCTGTGCAAACGCCGTGACGCCTGTCCGTCGGCTATTTCGCATTGGGATCGGCATCAGTGCGATCTTGCCAGTGCATCATATAATTGATATGATATAATTTTGCTGTTTTGGTGAGGAAGGCGGAAGCGTACCAGTTTATTGCTGTAGGTTAACAATTGCACGTCTGCACGAACACACGACGATACGATTCACATTGAACTTTTAACACATTATTCTTATTCGTTAAAAAATACACGAAAGAGCAAAAATTACATCGAAAAAAAAGTATGAATGAGACAACGTCGGTCACTGCAAGCTAGGGATGTACGACAAAAACATATCGATTCGAATTTCCTACGGCAGTAATCGAATGTTTTTACTCGCATCGGGCTTTAAAAAAAAATCGATTGCGCACTTAACAGAGCATGTAACCTACTTTAAAGTTACAATTACTTTGCGCTTAAACCACTCGTGCTACTTTCCAAAATCGAATCAAATAATTATCCCACTGTTAGAAAAATATTGTTGCTCCGAGACTTACCATTAACAGAACTGCTCCGCAATTTAACAGTATTACTCCTCAGCAAACTAAAAAACTCGCTTCTTTAAAATACGCAAAATATCGCTCATCTCTAAACTCCCCAAGCCGAACAGTCAATGAAGTTGGCGGTGCGCAAAGTTAATTATACTTAAACTTTCAATTTTAAATCGCATTTTAAGAACAATTCCGCATGAAAGCCGTGCACGCGATGTGCTTATGAAGTTTACTGTTTTCGTTATACCCATGTTATTGTTAAAGCGAGCGCTGCCACCGCTTTTCCTCTGCATTCGTTGGATGTTTTAAAAAAAAAACACGCGCGTTGCGCGTCGTACGAAACATATTCAAAAGTTGTTTGCTACATATGTGTGTGTGCGTGTGTTGTATGTTTGTATGTGCGTATGTGCTGGCTTTATTAAACATTAACATTGCGAAAAATCAATACACATTGTGTTCGCAAGTCTCTCAGTGCTTGTGTGCTGTGCACCGTGAGGCATTTGTGCAAGAATTGTGTTAAACAAAAAGCGACGCACGCAACGCAAGGATAACGCCAGCAGAAGGCGGCTGGCGGTAGGGGCCAACACGCACCCAACGCATCTAAAACGAGGTAAAAACATTGTAAATACATATGCATGCGCACGTGTGTGTATGTGAATTATTGTATGTATGTACATCCTTGCAACTAAATATAAACAGTCGGCGATGTCGGTACCACAAATAAATAAATCGCATCAAACAGAAACAAATATTCTCTGTATATGTATATTTATATATACTTATATGCCTGTGTGTTTGTTGGATTTGTGTTTATATTGTTGTTTAATTGATGCCTTTGTCTCCAAATGAATTGCCAACTTCATTTCAAGCAGCGAAATATGCATAATTTTTGCCTGACGCGACGCAGACGCTCGCCCGGCTTTTTATTTATTTAGTTTTTTTTTGCCGCAGCAGCAACTCTTGTGATTTATTTTGCTCATACAGACACGCAAGCCAGATAGAGAGAGAGAGAGAGAGAGAGGCACACACACACGCAATGCTGCATGTGCCTGTGTGCTTCCTTTTTCCGCTTTAGCTTTGTTATTGTTGTTGCTTTTGTTTATTTCTAAATGTTCTCTCGCTCCTTTAACAAACGGACAGTTCAACAATCACACGTGTGAGAGAGATAGCCCACGCTCGCTCTTTTCACTTTGCTTGCAGTTTGCTCTCCTGCAGCGTTTTTGCATTCACGTTTCTTATTGGGATGTGTGCGTTTTGCCTTTTGAGCGGCAACAGCAAAAACAAACAAATATTAGGGATATTCCTGCAAGTGCTGAGTATGTACATATATACATATGGGGGTATTATATCCCTTCGATTACCGATCAGATCTGATAGAATTTCCTCTATAAATCCTTAACCAAACAAGAGTATTTTATTACGGAACGTAACACTATTCAAGTGTGTGCAATATGTAAACATAAATTGAACATTCTGCTTATAAAGTCGCACACATTTAACAATATATAAATTTCGCGCGAAAGTTTAGTGCTCTGTTGAATATTTGTACTTCCGCAAATTTAAAATTAACGTCTCATAACACCAGCTAAGAGCTGATTGCTATGACCACAATCATGTATCGATAATTTTTCGCGGTCAGCAGTGGCAAATCTTGTTTCGGTCTCCTGCTGAGGCAGTTTTTTTTTTTTTGTTTTTTATTTTTGCTGATGCACATGTCGCAGACTCATGTTTATTGCTCTTATGTCAGATAGACTGCTATTATTTTTGCTTTACTTTACTTTTGATGGTTGTTTTTTCTTTTTCAGCAGAAACGGTTAAAAGACATAATTTTTCATTTTTCGAATTGAAATTATATTGCGGTGTCATATTTATACCACACACATACATATGTACATGCATGCAGATCATCTCGCTCATCTATTGAGGATTGTATGTATGAATGTATGTAACCAAATGTTTTGCCGTAGATTGGCAACGCTAAGCAGGCGCGTAAAGTTGATTATTAAAATAACTGAAATAGAATTCTCGAAGCATCTACATTAATACATGCGTTACAAAAGTACACGAGCATATATTTATATACATTTGTATGCCAAAATTGAAACAAGTTTTCAACCCCTAATTATTAAAATGTTTTGCTGCAAATATTACAACTTCTTTCTGTACTCTTGTCTTGTGATGTGCTTATTTTTTGCTGACAACTTTTGCGCATTGTTGTTCTACTCACGCTTTTAATGCTATTTTTGTGTTAAAGTCTCCTTTGTGCTGCCGACGCGGCGTTGTCTTCTCATGAGCAACATACATATGCACATACATATATATAAAACTTTTTTTATATTGTTTCCTTTTTCTGGAAAATTTGTTGTATTTTTTTTATTGTTGTTGCCAATTTTGCTTTGGTCTTGTACCAGAGAGCGCACAAGCAGGGGCTGTTCTTGTTTGTGCTCAATGCTCTCTCGCTCTCGCATAAGAACAAGGAGTTTGGTTTTTTTTCTTACTTTTGTTTTGTCTGCACACTATTTTTGCACTATTTGCAAACTTGCAGAGCAAGTGCTAAAAATTAATCTTTACATGTGTAGGAAGATACAATTCTGAACAAATTATATATACTCTAAAAGTTTATATAGATGTATGAATGCATATTTAATATTACTTTTGTACTACTAGCGCCATTGTTTTTAGCAACTTTCTGATTGGGATATGTTGCACCTCTCTCTCTCTCTCTCTGGCTCTCTCAGATGCACCCAACAAAAAATTGCTTGTTTTGCCGCTTGTGTTTTTCGTTTCTCTTTTTGTTTAGCATACATATGTACGTATACGTATATGTATATACATATATGCATTTGTATCCCTATTTTTTGTTTGTCAGCCTCCTCGCATTTTCGACATTATCCGGCATACAAACGTAGAGTGAGAACCAAACAGGTGCAATAACATTGGCACACATTTAATGTTTGCAATTAAGTGTCTTATAAAAAAAACTAATGATTATAAATTAAACTGTACCCTTAACATGTTATACGTTATAATATTTTTGAATATTATTACTGTAAACCTCTAACCTGGTTCATAGGTATTAATAAAAAAAAGATTATTAAACGTCATAAAATAGTGTAAATATTAAAACAAGAAGATAATTACTTTAAAAGCAGACATTAAACGTAATTAGCATAACATTGATATAAGTCATTTGAAATTGTTTACCTTTTATCGCTAGCTCATACCACTATGCTGCTGGCTTATTCAACTTCCTTTGCACATTTCCATGCTACTGCGCAGACGCGTTCGTTCTCTCGCTCTCGCTCTTGCTCTCTGCGTTTAAGTTTTTGCATTTGTGTGCGTGCCATGCTCCCTTGTTTTTTGTTGTTCCTGCTTTGCTCGCTGCTTCCTTTCTGCCTTTGTATAATTCGAAAATGCTAAAGTAAAGTGCTCAAAATTGCTGTGTTCTTCAGCAGCAGGCAGCAGCATATTTCTGCGTCTCTCCCTCTCGCACTGCTCCACAATGTTGGACTCTGCTCCTCACGCCGCCAACCACAAAAGCAGCAGAAACAGCAACAACAACAACAACAAGCAGCTGCCTGTGTGCTTTCCTGGCTCGCTCCGTCGTCTTCGTCGTCTTCGTCGTCGTCGTTGTTGTCGTCGCGTCGTCGGTTGTTGTTATGCTTGATTTTTATTACTTTACTTTTTTCAGTATAATTCTTTGTCTTTTGGCGTTTGTTTAATGCAAAAAAAAAAACAAAAAAAAAAAAAAAAATGAGAAGACCAAGACAAGAACCAGCAGACACACACACACACAAACGCAATAACTGAAGATACCAAAAAGGAAGAAGCACAAACTACATTAAGCACAGACAGGAGTCTGTACAAAATAAAATTTTTGCGCAACGCGCTGTCACATTGCAAAAAGGAGAGAAGTCGCATTTAACAAAAAGAAAATTCAAAATCACCAAAACCACACGAGCAGCGAGCAAAAATTATAAATTGTGTGTGCAGCAATCATCAACTTTAAAGCAAAGCAGAAGGAATTTTCAAGCAAAAAAAAAATCAATTTTGCCTAATTTCGATTGTACAATTTTAGTTATTTTAATTAATTTTCGCTCTTGAACGCTTCATGCTCTTTATTCTTGAGTTAAGTTTAGTTTCGATTAAGCGCTCGCATGTTGATGCTAGTCGCAAGAAGGTGCAAAGGAAACGGTCGTCGCAACAACAATAAAAGAACTCGCTTTCTTTCGGTAATCATATTAATACAAAATGACTGAAAATAAAATGAATAAAATATGCTATTCGATCATGTGCTGTGTTCGCGCTTCACCTAAAATATTTGCATGCAATGTCCTTGATAGCGCGGATACATGAAGTGAATCATCTGAATGCACAATTTGAACGCATCTCGAGGTGTGTGAATCAATCTTCGTGAGTGCCTAGAATGGCTGAGTGAATGCATCTTAAATGTTGAAACGATTGAAGTGAATGCGTCTTGTGAATGAGTCAAAATACTCAAAAGTATTCGTCTATTGTAATGAATGCATTCAAATATATGCAAATGCTTTATGAGTATTTAATGAATACGTGAATGCGAGTGAGTGTTTTAAAGTAATTGAATGAATAGAATTTATGTATATGCCATTTTGCCCATACGAATGCATTCAAATCTGTTTGAACGCATTCATCGAACACTGTGACTATGGAGTGAATGAATTACCTACTGATGTGCATGATTCAATCAATGCATGCAACCGGCTCGAGTGTCTGTGTTGCGATCGATTACTACTCATTTAGTTTTAGCAATAGAGTATTCATTGAATAACTTGTGAGTTTCTATAAACGTTGAAATTTTGACTAAAGCTTGTTTTTATTTTTTATTTATTGTTATTTTATTTATTTTAGATAATAAAAAACGCATTGAGCTTCCATTAGAGCTTCCATTGGATCTGGAGTTGAATACTAGTTACGAATCGAACGTGGACGAGGCGTTCTTGGCTGCAGCAGGATGAGCGCCACCACACAGGAGTTTTGCGTGCGATGGAACAGCCATTTGGGCAGCATTGGTGCGGCCTTTCCACAGCTGTTGGCTGGTCAGAGATTTGTGGATGTGACACTAGCCTGTGAGGGGCATCAGGTGCATTGCCATCGCCTGGTGCTGGCTGCCTGCTCCACATACTTTGAAGCCATATTGGCTGAGAATCCGTGCAAGCATCCGGTCATCATATTGCCCAGCGAGATCAAACTGTGGGAGATCCAGGCGCTGGTCGATTTCATGTACAAGGGCGAGGTCAATGTGACGCAGGCTGGATTGGGCCAGCTGTTGCGCTGCGCCGAGCAGCTCCGTATACGCGGCCTCTATGGCTCCGAGGCGGCCATCAACTACAAGCAGCTGCAACAGATGCGCCAGGAGGCAGCGACGCAGGAGTCGCCAGCTCCTCCAAAACAGGAACAGCAGCAGCAACAACAACAGCAGCAACAACAACAGCAGCCGCATCAACTGGACTGCACTGAGACGGATGACACGGCCACCAACTCGACGACATCGACCACAACCACAAGCACAACGGCGCTATCCGCCAAGCAGCAGCAGCAACAATTGCTACTGCAACAGCAGCAACAGCTGCAGCAAAAGGAGCAGCGCCAGCGCCAGCAGACAAATGGCAACAATACGCTTCAATTGCAGCTGCTGCAACAACAACAACAACAACAGCAACAGCAACAGCAGCAACAACAGCAGCAACATCAACAGCAGCAGCAGCAGCAGCTGCCGCAAACAAATGCTGGCTCCTCGGCAGCTGCTTCGAACAACTCGAATGCACCGACCGAAGATGATTCGGCGGATGATGCTAGCAACAATTGGAATGTTTATAGCGAGCACTACGAGGACTTTGCCGCGGCCAGCGACAACAAACTGAATGTGCAGCTGGTATTGCAACAGCAACACCAGCAGCAACAGCATCTGCAATTGCAGCATCATTTGGACTCCACCATTGAGGACGATCACAATTATGTGGCCGCCCATGATGAGGACAATGACAGCAGCGGCTTTGCCGGCAATATGGGCAGCTCCGGCGGCATTGTTGGCAATGTTGCTGGCCTCTCGCTCAGCATGGACGCTGATTTGGATACCTCGGCAAACACATCCGGCTCATCGCTAATGCACAGCTCCATCGATGGCTATACATCGTACAAGCGGGTGCGACGCTCAGAGGCATCGCTCGCTCAGGCCGCCAAATGTGTGTCAAAGGGCGAAACATTTCAAACGGTCAGCAACATGTTCAATATACCCGTCTCGACCATACGCTTCTATATGGCACGCAAGGGCATATTGCCGAAGCGGAAGCGCGGACGTGGCGCCTCCCATGCGGGCAGCACAATTACCACAACCAGCACGGGCAATGCAGCTGCCGCTGCGGCAGCAGCAGCAGCGGCGGCCACCATGGCGGCGGCCACCACATTGGGCAGCTTATCGACGGCCGGTGCGCATCATGTGTCGCATCACTTGCCACTGGATGCCATACAGCTGAAGCGACTCACAAATGCCAGCAGTGGAGGCGGCGGCGGCAGCGGGGGAGGCGGCGGTGGCGGGGGTGGCGCTGCCAGCCCCTCAGGAGCAACTGCAACAGCAGCGGCAGCAGCAATGGCAGCAGCAGCAGCAGCGGCAGCAGCAGCTGCCTCCTCCTCCTCGCCACGACTGGAGGTGGCCACAGCGGCAGGTGTGCCCTTTCATCTGCTCAGCGATGCGGCGGCCTTCAAGCTGAGCGAACAGCAGCAGCAGGCGCACATAATCTAACCATGAGGTTGGCTTCGCTTGCATTTAGACCCATACGTGAAACGAGAGAGTGAGCCAAATATTTTACCAAGCTCTGCGCGATGCAGTTCATCCAGCTTCCTGGCATCTATGGTAAACGATGGACAAACCAAGCTCTCGCTAACAGCCGGAAACAGGCCAGAAATGTGTCTGTTGAGACGTTTACTCATTGCTTAAGTGCATCTCAAAATCACACACACACACACACACACACACACACACAGAAGCACACACATAAGCACACACAGCTGCACACACTCATGCGTAGTCGCTTTAAAAGCAAACCCCTCCCTTCCACCCATTGGTTCCTCCAAATGCTGACGTTGAACAATGATCTGCAACAGTTAAAAGCTATGCATATATACTAATAATTATGAACGTATATCCTAGTTATACGCATATACATGCATATATGTATAGATATATACATATATATTTTTTTTATATCTAATATTTTGCCTTTAGTCAGCTACATATTAATTATGAATATATATGTATGTGTATACGGCATACGTGAGCACGCGTATGTATTTGGCAAATTCATCTGCACCCCACAACCCCCCCCCCCCCCCATACCTCCCACTAATTGTATGTATCATCGCTTATAAGATTAAGGATTAGTTTTACATCTGTAATATAGTACATGACATTTTTCATGCAACAATCCCCCAACCAATCACAACACATAATTTGTTCATAAACCAACAGCATTAACAAACAAATGTAATACATCAAATTTTGTGCAGTTAACAGACAGTACAATAACAATAAGTTAGAAAAAAAAAACAAAAACAACCAGTTGCTATATATACAGTACATTTATTTTGGGCACAAATATAGAGTGGTGTTTATCATTTGTTTTGTTCTTCATTTACTGTTAAACAATCTTCAAGTCATAACTTTTAAAGAAATATGTAAAAAGTCAAGCAAACATTTTCATTGAACAACACCAACAACAACAACAACAACAACAATCACTAGCGCTTAAGGCAGCAATTTAGCTGTAAAATAAAGAGAGACAGAACCCAATACATTAACAAACAAACAAACAAACAAACAAACAAAAAACATACATTTAATATACTTTATATAAGTTATTAAAAAGATCAACCTTAATATATGCATACTCGATATTCATTTTAAGCAATTTTCAATGTAATGTTTCTAGTACTGGCAAGATATGCCGGTAGTTCGTATTCGTAAGATCCATTAAGACTTGAGAGTGAACAATATTATTATCGGAGTAGCTATTGAAACTATATATTGGGCCCTATAAATGCCCAATTTGGTACTCGTATGTGCATTTAAGCTGTGTAAAGACTTGCAAAAGACTTCTTATTTTTTTTCTATTTAAGTTGCTTTAGTATCCAAACTTAAGACTTATATATGTATATTGTTTTTTTTTTTAAAAGACGTTTTTATTCGGTTAAATATATATATATATACACATATATTTATATATGATCATATATAGTTATTTCGCAATTTCTTTATACAACTCATACAACAAACACTGTCTCAATTAAATGTTTGCCATACCCGTAATTTTAAATGTATTCATTATTTGTTTAGTTTTTTATATGAAATTTTAAGCCTTAGTTTCTTTTACAAACTCAAGCTATTTTTATAAAATCGGTTAAAAATTTAAATGCAGTCGAAAGTCGGAAGTCGGATTCGTGTCGAATTTTCGTTATGATCTCTCGAAAGTCGTAGATATGTATGTATGTACATATATGTATGTTTGGGTATGTTACACTAAAGCGATTCATATGCAACATATATATTATTTGCAAAAGAAAACAAAACAAATACCTCGTATACATTGAGCATCAAGTTAATAATAGTAAGCCATATATACACACTTAACAACAAAAGGCAGACAAAGTGCATTCAGCATTCAGCAAACAATAAACGATAGCGAATAACGCTTATTTTACACATAAACAAACAGCTGCAGAATAAAACTTATTTAATTGTAATTTATAATTAATCGAATGTTGTTACAATAGTCACGAGAAAATAAGAAACAAAAATTGAGCCCATAGCAAACAATATATACATATATATATATATTTTTTTTAAAAAACCAATTGTAAAATATGCAAAAAACAAACAGAAACAAAATCGAAACACACAAAGTTGTGCCGCGCAGCTTGCTATTAAAGAACTGTATCTATTTTTATTAAAAACAAAACAAAGCAGAGAACAATTTTTTTGATTTGGCTTGTAAAAACACGTTGAAATCTGCTAAAAACGAATGTGAAAAAGGCAAAATATAGGAACTAGTTAATAACAAAAAACAAAAAAAACAAACAAATAACTAATTGAGGGACTGTAGCGCCCAAAAAATATTTGAATCAAATGAAAGTATTATGTATCAAACACAAAAATGAAAAAAACGGCAAGAATAATATATATACATATATATATATATTTATATGTATACATATACATACTATATAGACATACATATATAGAATGTATAACTAAATGAGATAATTAAACACGATAAGCCAGCAAAAGCGCGAATTATGTTAAAATGCGAATAAAAAAAAAAAAAACAAAATTAAAAATAAAAATAAAAACAGTTAAATTTATGTATAAATTACAAAAATGCGACAACAAAGCAGATGCAGATGGTATTTTAAATAAAAATTGAAAAATTATTTTGCAAATTGTTCTTTTTATTTGTCTATTTTGAAGCACCTGGCAACTGTCATTCAGATACATTTATCGTATTCAACATTCAGCCATGAATATAATGAAATGCAATTTGACCATGTTGTAAAGTAGGCAGTAAATTTGCAACGAACTTCTAAAAAAGGAAAAGCAAGCTTTTGACGTTTTAACTGGATTACTTTCTATATAACGTATAATATTTAACATGAGTTAACACTGAAAGGCATCTTTACCCAGGTGCTGATATCTCAAAATTAATGCGGACTTCAATAGGATCGGCTCAACTTATGCAGATTATTTATAATTTTATTTATTTATATATAAATAAATATTAAAAAATATATATTATTACCCAAAAATGTACATGTATACATAAGCACGACGATGATTTTGCCATCTTTCTATGATAGACACATTTTTATACACATATAGACACATCACTAAAAGGACAAAAGAAATAGAAAGCGGGTAAGAGCTGGATAATACAAAAAAAAACCAATGTAGGAAGACCTGCATGGTCTACTTGTACTCGTGAGAATCGCATAGTAGGGCGGAAGGTTGGCTTCATAATGTATGTACATACATACAAGTACACAAATAAAGTTAATTGCGTGACAGAACATTACAAAACAAAATCTAAAATTAAAATCAATGCAGGAAGACCTGTATGGGCTAGTTGTATTCGTGAGAATCGCATAGTAGGGCGGAAGGTTTGCTTCATATTGTATGTATGTACATACATGTATACAAATAAAGTGTATAAAACAAAGATGAAACAAAAAAAAAAGAGCTCCCACCAACCACGCCCTCCATTCGGATTTGTTAATAATTACTCCCTTATAAAATCATATTGATGCGCAAATTGTTTAAAAGTGTTTTTTTTTTTTATTACATAGATATCATTCGCTTTGTAAACATACATATTTATGTAATTAGGTTTGCCCGAATAATTTTACGAATATGTATTTCAGACCATCTCTATAATTAGGGCTAGGGGTGCAAGGGTCTTAGGGGACTTGTTAGAGGAGTGGTAATTTTGTGTGCTTGTGGGTGTGTGTGTGTGTCGCTTAATATACGTAAGATAAATTGGTTACATTAAGTTTGCTTTATTTTCATAATGCATATGTTGAACTCGAACTCGACATCGAATTACATCAATTAAACCGACATGCACGTACATACATATGTATTCATGAGTACAAATACATACGTCGTATATATGTATATGTATGTGTATATATATATATATATATTTATATTTGAATATACACATATAAATATGGATATAATATATATCATATTATAATAATTTTTGAATGTGTGTGCATTGTTTGTTGGGTGTACTTAAGCTCTAAACATTTTATTTAAATAAGTAAGTTTTCTTTAGCATGTTTACAATTTTTTTTGTTGTTTTTTTTTGTTTTTCGTTTAGTTTTCAAATTACATTTTGTCCACTGCGTGCGTTTCCAAGCGTGTTTAATACACGTTCAATCGTTCGTTTATTTCAGTTACAATTTTTTCATTGTTTAAATCTTAAAATCATACATCATGTACATGTATGTATGTATGTTTTGTATGCATCTGTATATGTATGTTTAAATGCACGCTCGTTCGAAATGGCTAAGAATCTGCATTTGCTTACACAAATTGTATTTGTTTTTGTTATCCTTTCGTTTTTTGTTTTGTTTTTCTTTGCTAAGACAACAAATATTTAAAAAAAAAATTATATGTATATATATGTAAAGAAAATTTCTCATATGTTATTCCCCATTCAAATTAACCAAATAGCTTATACATGTGATAAGAGGTGTATCTGTTTAAGTGTGTGTGGTTGTGTGTGTGTGTGTGTGTGTGTGTGGGTGTGTGTGTGTGTATGGTGTGTGTCTGAGTGTTAGTGTGCGAGGTTTTAAAAACTAGTTGTATAAATTGTTGGCTTGCTTTTTAAATATTATTCTTCATTAGATGTATATTTAGTAAGTTCATATTTTGAAGTATTTAGAACGTTCTGCACAATTTGTTGCCGAAATACAATATCATGACAATAATAAATATTTCTTGTATATCGATTATCGTCAATAGTCATCGTCAAATGTCATTGCCGATATAAGTATGTATGTACGTATATGCACACATATGTACTTGTTATATTGATACGAGCAATGTTAACATTTAACGTATGTATCTACGTATTTCTACACATTCCTTTTTATTATTTTGTAACTGTATCACAATTGGGTTTCCCGTTTTCTACCACGTTCTCAACTTCTTACTGTTTCCTTTTCATTTCCATTTTTGGTTTACTCTATACCTTTCATACCATTTTAGCTATTATGCGGCCAAAATTTCAAAATTTTGCTTATCACTTACTTTCGTTTTTTTTTTTTTCTTTTAACAATTTCTTTAGGTTTCGACTTTGCCAATTTTTTGTTGTTTTTCTTTTTTGCTGAACTTTTTTAATTTGCTTGTGTGAAAATTGTTTGTTGTTTGAAAAAGGTGCATTTAACCTTGGCGCTTAAAAGTATGTAGTATGTATGTATGTATGTGTATGTGTCACTGTGTTGTGTGTGTGTGTGTGTGTGTTGAGTATGTGTATGTGTGCATTTTTGGCAATTGTGCGCTGTCAATTGTTTTGTATAAATGCATTTTCACTCACTCCATAACCAGCGGCTGGCATTTGATAAATGTATGTATTGTATTGCGTGTAGTTCTAGGTTTATATACATATGGTATGTATATATATGTATGTATATATAAAGGTATATAAAAACAAAATGAATGATTTAAAACAAATGATATACGCTTGAAGCAAAGTAAATACACACAAAAATCATTTACAGAGAAATCAATTTGATTATACAAAATACATATTTATTATAACGGCATATTTTGTTTCATCTTATTTTGGCTGCTTGTTGCGTATTTTTTATATTTTACTAAACAAACACGAAACGAAACGTCAGCGACCCGTTGCGTTACGTTACGTTGCAATTATGTTACGTTACGTTACGTTGCGTAGTTTTTGTTTACTTTTTGGTTTTTTCAAAAGTTGCATTTTTTATACTTTCAAAAATATATGTTCTATATCATTTTGAATATGTACATATATATATTTGTAAAAATATATACATATATATATATATAACTTTATATAGATAAGAGAGACTGAGACAGACACAGTAAGTTAAATAGTTTAAGAGACAGAGAGAAAGAGAGAGACTGAGTAAAGGCTAGCAAAATGTTTGCGTCATCTTTACAAGTTGCAGTAAATTTCCTTAACTTTTTTCAATTTTTTTGTTGTTTTTTTTTTCGTTGCTGCTTTTCGTTTAGTTACGCTTAAATTTTATCAGTTTCAACTTTTTCTCTTTTTTTTTTGTTTTTGTTTTGTGTTCTTGTTTCGTTTAACTCTGTATGTATGTATATGCGTCTGTTTCTTTGTGCCTTGGTGTGCCTTGGTGTGTCTGTGTGTGTCTGTGTGTGTGTGTGTGTGTGTGTGTGTGTGTGTGTGTGTGTGTGTGTGTGTGTGAGTGTGTGTTCACAACAACTTATAGGTAATACAATACAAATATCGCACTTTAAAGGTTTTATTTCTTAAATAAAAAAAAGAATGTGTGCCTCATATCATCCATAATACATATTTAATAGCCATAAAGCATTGGCTTTGGTATAGCCATCAGACATTGTCTATATATATATATAGTGTGTATATATATATATATATATATATACATGACAATAATACAAATACATAACATATATATTTAGCCTGTATCGGCTTGGGCTGTTACTTCATTTGTTTTTTTTTTGTTTTTACTCTTTTTTTTTTGTATCGTTTTAAATTGGTTATTAATTAGTATTTTTTATAAGTCTATCACATCATCACAATTAGGTTGCATAAAAAAATGCCTAGACAGCGGGCGGGGCTGGCCGGGACGCTCGGGTCGGGTCTAGGCCAGCACAACACCGGCAATGTCTGGGTCGATTTTTTCACTTAGTAACATTGTGTATACATATACATATAAAAAATAATATAGTATTTAGTTTTCAGCTTCTAAAACAAAATGAAGAGAACAAAAATTTAAGCGTATGAGAGTTCAACAGAAAAAAAAAAGAATTATAAACAGAACAAAATGAAACAAAATCATAATTATAATTATAATAAACAATGTCTTCCACTTATGGTATTCGTTCATATATATATATATAATTTATGACATATATAAATATATATATATATAAATATGTATGTATGTATTTTCTCTTCTTTTAAATGTAGTTTTTGTTACAAGGAGATCCATTTGGTGATATAAACTTTTGTCTTATTTTCTTAAGACAGACACATATATGCATATAAATCAATATATATATATATATATGATATATATATAAAAAAGAAATTTCGCTGCGTTACAACATACTCTACGTGTTTTTGCCTTGTGTCCTGTCTCTTTACTGCTTAACTTCGTTTCGTTTCTTTAACTGATTTTTATGTTTATTCTTCGATTTTCTTTATATTTTATTCCGTTTTTTGCTATTTTCTCTTTTCTTTTGCTAGCTTTGTACTGCTTTTTCGTTTGAGGATGAACTTAGAAAATTGTTTAATACTAAATGTTTTATCTGCGATTCGAGCAGAAGGTGAAGCAAACTTATTGCGGCTCCATTTTTGATTGGGCAACAACTTGGACCAAGATAGTTAACTAATTAACTTGTATATTGGAATAAAATATGCTACTGTCCTATCAGGGGAGGGTGTTCGATGGCCGATATATCGAAAATTTGTTGGCTCTACCAATATAGAAAGTTTCATACTACAAATATGATGTCAAAATGATGATAAGTGAAAATGAAACCTCAGGCTACTACACTAAAAAAGGAAATAATTTGATATATGTATATATATATGTATATATGCATTCCTGTTCTGTATTGTTATTATTATTATTATTGTTGTTGTTATTTTTTGTTTTTTTTCATTGTGAATGTCTATTGGTTGTGTTCTGCATTGTATATATTGAATTAACTTGTTTCCTGTTTTATATATGGATGAATGTGGCGTATTTTCTTTTTCTTATATTTCTTGCATTTTGTTGTAAATACTCTTATCGACTTTCAATAAATTAAATTTTCAACTTTTTTTCAACATTTTTCCAGTATTTGCATAGAACTTTTGAAAAAAACATTGCTTTTTGCGAATGTGAATATATTCAGTTACACACAAAATAAAAACAATCAGAGTGAATATTTTCCATTTTACGCATATGGAATTAGGTTAACATCAAAGGAAAAAAATGTCATTAAATAATGTAAAATCGCGTTTCGCCTTTTCGTTTTCAACTTCAAGATACGCATACCAAGCAAATATATGCATGATTATATGTATATATATATATAAAAAAAAAAAAGAAAAAAAAGTTTATATAAATATTACTCGAACATGAAAGTGTTTTTTCCAATACATATTTCATTGTATTTTTGCTGTTGTTGTTTAGATTCGTTTACATACTTCTACCAAAGCAGCGCTGCTTTTTGCCCTATGCTGGCGTTATATTTTTTTTATGTTTTAGAACATTTACGAATTTCTAAATATATCATTTAAATTTTCAGTGCGCTTTCGCAATTTTACTTTAATCGAAAAACGATTAGCTGCATTTCTCTCTTTGTGTGTGTGCGTGCGTGTGTATATGTGTGTGTGTGTATGTGTCGGTGGGTGTGTGTGTGTGTGTATGTGTGGGTGGGTGTGTGTGTGTGAATGTTTTTGCATGTGTGTCTGTATATATTTAATCAGAATTTATATGTTTTCAGCTTGTTGAGTATTATTAGCTTAAATTGTTATTATGGAATTATTTTGTTTTTATCATTTTTGTATATATTATATAAGCAAACCGTTAATTTCATACCAACCAAGTTAGTGAAAAGGTTTTAAAAATTTTCTTTTCTCATTTTTGATACAATTTTCTGGTAATTTTCGTATGTGTGTGTATATGTGTTTGTTCGTGTAGTGTGTGGTGTATATGTTTTTAACAAATTACTAAAATATCTTGATGTTGTGGTTTATCTTGTTGATATTTATGTATACGCTTTTTGTGTATAGCACCTTAAAAGTATGGTTTGACAATATGCAAATTGTGTGAATAGTAAAAAATGTGGATGTGGGTGTGTGTGTGTGTGTGTGTGTATGGGTGTTTGTGCTTTGTGAATGTGTGTTTGTGTGCGTGTATGTGTGTGTAAGTGTATGGTTAACAAAAAAATATTTAGCACATTTTCAAAATCAAATGAACAGAAAAAATCATTATAATCACTTAACTCTTTAACATTCGAAGAACATGCAATTTGCTGCTCGCGCGCGGAAGATTGCTTAAAAACTAGATAAATATTTCTAGTTATTAACTGTTGTTGCAGTTCTTTTGTACGGAGCGTTGCATAAATGTTGTGGTTAACAGCAAGGCGACAGTTATAACGACGCTGTTAATGGTATCTGCAGCTATTCCGAGAGGGAGAGAGAGAGAGAGAGAGAGAGAGAGCAGTTAACAAAATTGATGCTCGAAATGAAGCTCAGCTTTTGTGTCTCTACTTACCTATACGCTTGTTGTTGTTGTTGGTATTGATGATGTTGTTGTTGTTGATGCAGTTGCCGCCATGCGAATAACTCAAGCAGTCTGTGTTTGTTTGTATGTGTTTGTGTTGCAAAAAAAAAAAATAATAATAAATATCAATGGAAATGAAAATCCATGTATCTATATATGTATAGTTAGGATATATGTATATGCATATATACGAAAGTTGTAAGTAAAAAGGGAGTAACTTGTGCTTCTGCAAATTTGTTGTTATTTTTTCATTGTTTGTTTGTTTTTTTTTTTTGTTGTTTTCAAACTCGTAAATTGTTGCCATTTGTGTCCGCGTTGTTGTTGTTGTAGTTGCTTGCCTGCCCATTGGAACGTTGCTGGTGCTGCTATTAGTTAACAGAGTTCAGCGTTAACAGTGGTGTGAAAACAGTTTATGTAAAATTGAATCGATTGAATCGTACGAGTTTACATTATGTATACACTGCATATATACATCATTATCGAGCAGACACAAGCAAATAGACATCCTCTACATCACATATGAATGCTCATTAAATAATTCATTTAGATATATGCATATAGAATATGTATAACTTGTATGATTCGAACGACTCGAGTCGAGTCACTCTCTAGTCGATTTACAATTATGACTGTTTATTAATTCGTTATGCGTGTTCAAGTGTGTTTTGGGGTGTCTGTGTATGTGTGTGTCTTTGAGTGTGTGTCTTTGAGTGTGTTTTCTTATCTTCTTCTGCTTCTGCTTCGTCTGTTGTGGTTGTGTCTGTAGTAGTATTTGCGCTTCATTTTGGGTGTTGCAGTTGTGGACTCTTGGAAAAAAGAAAGACTGGATTTTTTGAGCCATCTTAATGCTGGCCAGCCTGCTCAATGGCAGCGCCCGGCCCGGGCCCAGCCACGGCTGGCGCAAACTGATGATGCTGTGCCGTATAATAGGTGGCCGGCATATTGAACTGACTGGCATAGGGATTGGTGCCAGGTGCTGCGGTTGTTGTCAGCACGCCCGCCGCATCGTACATATATGCGGTGCCCGGTGCGGCCGCAACCGGTGCGCGTCCAGCGCCACCGGCAACAGCAGCCGCTGCAGCGGCCGCAACAGCCGCTATTGGCGGCGAATTGGCTGGTGTATAATGCACCATGGGTGTGCTAACACCAGCCGGTGCATATTCCTTAAAGGTCTTATCATCGCCGCCAGGATGTTGCTTTGGCTTTTGCTGTGCCTGCTGTTGCTGCTGCTGATAGTGTGGCGGTGGCTGTTGCTGCTGCTGTTGATAGTCACGTTTGGGAAACTGCTGGAAACGTGGCATGCCACTGCCAGCGGCCGCTGCATTCGGTACAAATTGTCCGCGTCCCCGATAATTTGGCGGCATAAATGCGCCTGCCTGTTGACCCAAATGCGGCTGACCGGCATTGTGGGCACCAGCTGCACCACCAGCACCACCGGCAGCACCATTATGGCCCATTATGGCACGCGGTCCGCCATTGTTGAAGGGGGCACGGGGGCGATAAGTGGCGCTGCCATTGCGGTTGGCGCCATCGACACCCGGTTGCTGGTTAATTGCTGATCCAGCTCCGCCGCGATTCCAATTGCCAACGTTGCCGCCAACGCCGGAGCCGCTGCCATTCGGCTGATAAGTGTTGCCGCCAGCGGCATATTGCTGCTGATAGCTGGCGCGATTATTGTAGCCATTGTTGGCCGCCATGCTGTTGCCCGCCTGATAGTTGAGCGGATTGCTGCGCTGCTGATAGACGCCGGTCGAATTGCCGCCGCCATTACCATTGTTATTCCAGCGCTTATTGCCGCGATAATTGGCCGAATTGGGCATGGCACGTGCCAAATCGAGCAACGCCTGTGAAGGTGTCTGTCCAGCCTCCTCGAGGACCGAAATCAGCTCGCGAGCCTGCTTGGCATTGTCCGGTGTAAAGAATGTGTATGCCGTGCCCAGCTGCTGGCAGCGACCAGTGCGTCCAATACGATGCACATAGTTCTCCGATGAGTTCGGATAATCGTAGTTAATAACAAACTGCAAGTCCTCGACATCCAGGCCGCGCGATGCCACATCCGTTGCAATCAATATGTTCGACTTGCCGTTCCGGAAATCCTTCAGCACCGAATCGCGCTCACTCTGCGACTTGTCGCCATGTATCGATGTGGCTGTATAGCCCTCGCTGCGTATTATCTGCAATATGTCCTCCACCTGCGAAAAGGCAATTGTTTAGTAAGGCTTACGACTAATCCAATTGTGGGTTGCTACGATCACATATTTTCTAATAAGAACTAATGCACATCTTCGTCCGTATGTCTACTGAAGCTAGATAATTGAAATTTGGAATATATTGCCGTGTATAATCAGCGTCAAAAAGCTGCAATTCCGTTGCGAACAGAGTATATCAATGCCGGTTCCACCCGATAAGATTCGTGTACAACTTTTGACAATAACAGCCACTTAGAGCTGAGCTCCGAACTGTTGGGATATGAGCTTTGATTTCGCTGAAGCATAAAAATAAGTCACAACATTTCAATCGGGGGTTATCAACCGCTGAATATTCTGTTCACAGTATTAGAGCTAGCTTTAATTCGATTAATTGCCTTGCTTGAATCTTATCTTCTAAACTACAAGAAAATTTGAGTGTCCTCCTTAACATATATAATCTTAGAATTGTGATTTTGAATAAACGCAACTCACCTTGATTTTGGTCTCCACAAATATGATAATTTTGTTGCCATTGTTGGCAGAATTGTTGGTGGTTGGGGCAATATCTTTAAGCAATCGCACCATGCGCTGTGGCTTCTCGTTCTCGTTGCAGATCTCAACGATCTGTCGTATGTTGTGATTGGCGGACAAATTCATTGAACCGATATTGATCTGGATGTAATCGTTGAGAAAATCACCGGCCAATGCCTGCACCTCCTTGGGCCAAGTGGCCGACCACATCACAACCTGGCGATCCGGACGTATTTGCTCAATGATCTTGCGTATTTGGGGCTCAAAGCCCATGTCAAGCATGCGATCGGCCTCATCCAGGACAAGATATGTGCAGCGCTGCAAGTTGGTGTTGCGATTCTCAAGGAAATCAATCAGACGTCCTGGCGTGGCAATAATAACCTCGACGCCGCGCTCTAAATCACGTGCCTGCGGCACCTTTGAGGAGCCACCGAAAATGCATGTGTGCCGTATCTCGGGCTTGCACAGATGTCCATAGTCTCGCACCACCGACTGAATTTGCTGGGCCAGCTCGCGTGTGGGTGCCAGCACCAAAGCAATCGGTCCCTCGCCGCGCATTATGGGCGGCTGGTTGCCAATGTGCACAATGGCGGGCAGCATGTAGGCCAGCGTTTTGCCGGAGCCCGTTTGGGCAATGCCAACAAGATCACGTCCGCTCAGGGCAATTGGCCAGCCTTGTGCTTGGATGGCTGTCGGTTTGGTGAAGCCCTGGCGCTTCATCTCATCGATAATGTGGGGCGGGAGTGAGGACTCCTCGAAATTGGCCACCGGATGTGGCAGCTCATTGCCCGAGACGGTTATCTCCAGCTCGTGACGCATCTCGGCCACGGCCTGTTCGCTGCGATTCATCGTATTTGGATGCATGATATAGAAATCCTTTTGAAATGGCTGCAAATTCTCCCAGTGCGGCTTTACCAAATTGCGTCCTGGATTTTTGGCTTTCTCACGCTGCAATTCGGCGCGCTCCTCCTTCGACAGCATGCCCAATGCGGCTGCATTGTAATTGGCACTGCCGCCGCCGCCCTGATAGCCGCCGCCATTGCCCATGCCGTTGTGAGGCTTCTGATAGCGTTGCGTATAGTTGGGATTCTTGGCACGGGGTCCACCCTGAAAGGCTATGCCATTGGCGCCAGCAAATGCGCCATTCTGCATGGCATTGCCACCACCGCCGCCGCCGGTACGATACGGATTGCCACCGGCGCCCATGCTAATGCCATTCTGAATACCATAGGCCATGACACCATACGGCTGGCCAAAATGCATGCCTCCAGCTGCGGCGCCACCACCGGCACCATTCAAAGCCGCCGCATTGCCAGCAGCGCCGGCAAAGCTATTGCGCGGATAATATGGACGTTCATGGCGCGGTCCATTGCCGCCGCCAGCAGCTGCACCGCCGCCGCCGTTGCCATAGTAGCCGCCCGTGTGCTGCTGCTGGACGCCGCCAGCGTTCGGTGGATATGCGCCAGCGTACATTATTCTTCCGATCACTTCGTGTGGGTTTTCCTTTGATTAAAGTGTATGTGTGTTGTGTGTCTGTGTGTTGCTTTGCCGTCTACGCTTTCCTTTTCCGCTTTTTAAAGTCCGCCTGGTTAGGACAAAAAAAAAAAAAATTAGGAAAAATAAATAACAATCAATATAAATCCAAAAAAATTGAAGCACAGAAAAAAATCCCTGCAATTAAGTTGACAGCAAAGTATTAACAGTGCTATGTTAATAACATTTATTGCAATGCCCAACTGTCACACAAATATGTGAACTTTGTTCGCTGCGGTTAACTTTCATCATACTTTAGAGTTTACTCGTATGCCTCTTATTTGTTTATATGCAATATATACAAAATAGCTAAGAGCCCCCATTCAATATGAAACTTTTTGAATATGAGATGTTAAACAAAAGTTGCCTGCTTAATATTACTTAACAAATATTTATTTTTGAATATAATTTCACTTAAATATTTAATTGTCTATCATGCCAGCATCAAATAAATAATCTAGCAACTGCATATAGGCTTCAGCCGAAGCTAGGCATCAAATTTAAGGAATTTCACATGCATATACACTTTCAATTGGAGTGCGCAATAAATTATTTGAACAGTTTTTTTTTTTTTGTTTTTTGATGCAATATTCTGATTTTACCCACCTGATTTGTTGTTAGCTTCTGTGCCAAAATGTAAGAAGTGCACAAACACAATCGTAATTTGTAAGTAGGGTTAAGATTTTTATTTTATTTTATTTTTTTTTGATAAACAAAGTATTCCTATCAACTTCTATCAAAAACTGAGAGACTGGGATTTGGCTTAGAAATTGACAGACGGACTATCGGCAATATCGAATTTTCTGTTGATGCTGTCAATATTGTACTCCATGGATATGTCACTTTAAAATGTCAAAACTAACATACTCCTCTGCAACGTTGACAGAAACTAATGTTTTTCTTATTGCATTTTGGAAGTCTGTATGTATGAAAATAGTGACTGCAGACCCGATGCTGTTAACATCACATTAACATGTGACATGGCTACCACACATACACACACACACACACACACACACACATATGAGCAGGTGAATAACAAACATAAATGCGTACACATATGCAACTATATAAAATATATACGAATTATTTTTGTGGTTCGACTGAGCCAGGGTTCAGGATCAAGTCGTCTAGTGGCCGGTACACAAGCCGAACAACCACATGCAGACTTTTTATACAGCATTGATAAATATATGCATGTACATGCATACATAAGCATGCATGCATGTAAAATATACCTTTGTTGCGGAATTGCACTTAAGTGTTGATTAGTTTAGTAACGCCTGCAATTGAAGCACACGGCGGCGAGAGCATTCGTTTCTATTGCTTAATTCCATAAACTGCATATAAAATGTACCATAACAGCGAGCCCCCTTCCGTCTGCTTGCCCCCTCCGACAATAGCTAATGCGGCACACCGCTCGCGCAAAAAAAATCAATACAGCATCGCCAGCGGCCGACCAAAAGGGAAGAAAAAAATGAATAGAAAGAGAGCAACACGCAGAACTGCACACACGCACACACACAAACGCGTACGCACAAAGTATTCATATGTATATACACACATACAGAAGCACAAATCGTAGCACATTTACTTACCCTTTATTTTCGTGTTAGTTGTTAACTTTGAATAATTTTGATCTACTTTGAAACGTTGAACAAAATAGTTGTCGTTTATTAGTCGTACTTGATGCGGTCGCGTGTAAATCTTTTATGCGGATTTCGAGACAAATTTGTTTTTTTTTTGTCGATTTTTTCGTCGTCACGCCTAGTGTAAGAAAACTAGAGCTAGAGCTTGAAATTAATTGCCTTTAACACTGAAAACTAACTTTAAAGCTAACTAAAAGTGTACTTTGTTTTACACTATTTTATGAAAAACTAATGCCTATTACTTTTCTTGTGTATTTGTATATATATTTTTACAACAAAAAAAGTTTTGCAAGATGGTAATTTCAGCAATTACCACCAATGTGAGAAGAGAGTTGCAAGCGGATTTTGTTATCGTATTTGCGTGGGATAGTAATCGATTGCGCGATAGCTATCGCATACCTTCCGCTGTTAATTGTGAAACCCTAATCGTTACTAGTGGTAAGCGATATTATGAATTACGACTTACCGTGATAAATAACTGACTGTGATATTCGAAAGAAAAAGAAAATATTGAAATTCAAAATAAAACATTTTCTGACAATGGCCATAAATTTGTATTACTTGATGCGTATATATCAATGGCAATTGAACCTGACATTCATTAAAAATGTATATATTGTCACAACGCTCACCGGCTGCTTTGAAATACTTGTATCAAGTAACAGGTACACAATTTTAAGTTATTTACATTTAATTTATTTCCCTATCACAACATTTAACAATTCGCCTGGCATTAGTTGGAAGCCAAGGCAATCAGTAGTTTCCGACGATTGGCATCCAGCTTAAGCAGAAACTTCTGAACGCGCAGGCTATAGAATTCACTGGATTTGGCCAGTTGTACGCTATGCAGCCGCTCCACACGCCTGTAATCTTCCAGGCGGCATCTGTCGCGCTGATAGGCAACAATGCTGGCCAAAAAGTTCCATATGGTTATCTGTGGCCACAGCACATCCGTAAAGTACAGCACAGATGTGCTCAGCTGAAAGACAATAATGAGATGTTTATCTGACAGATGCTGCACCCAATATTGTAGGCTACACACCTGCCACATCATAAAGTCACTCAGTCGTGTCTCGCCGGATGTTCGAAACACCAGATCCGGCGGCGGCGAGTGGCGCGTGTAGAGGCACGCCTCCAGCAGTCGCTCATTGATATCAGTGGGCTGCAGTGGATCATCAGCCTGCTCGTCGTCCCTCAGGACAGCTTCCACTGCCTGTGTGATTTCATCGCGGGAAGTATACGCAAAGGCGACATTTAAAAATAACTTATCGTTGCGTTCGGTGCGCAACATGGCAGTCGCAATGAGCCGCTGCAGGTCTGCCGGCAGCAGGAGAAGGTTACCAATCACTCGGATTCGTATGCCGTGCTCATCCAGGCGGTTGGTCTCCTCCAGCAGCTTGGAGAACTTCTCTCTGGCCAGATTGAATAGACCTTCGACCTCTTCGTTGGAGCGTTTGAAGTTCTCAATGCTGAAGGCAAACGTGGTCACCTCTCGTATGCCCATGTCGAGGCACCAGCGAAGCACATCAGCCAGCTTGGAGAAGCCACGCGAATGGCCCTCAATCTTATCTAGTTGTTTGGAGCGGGCGAAACGCCGATTGCCGTCCATAACGAATGCAACGTGGTGGGGTATGTGGCCGGATAGTTGCAGCGCCTGGAACGCTATCTTTTGTATAAAAGTATACTGGTAGTCCGAAACCCACGACATCGTTCCTTTCCTTGCCCGTTCCAAAGATACCTTGTGACAGTCAAAAAAAGTTGACTCCTATCGAATGCACTAGTTGCAGTTGGGAGTTATCGAATGTACAAGATTACGCCATGATAGCCATTTGGCTATCATTCACAAAATGGAAAAGCTTAATAATTGACATTTTTAATAATTAATTAAGCTTATTAACCATCAAATTAATTAACTATAACTTAATTATATATTTGCACATATATATATTTAATTTAAAACTATTATAATATGGTCTGACGTCACGGATTATTATCGTAGTGGATGAGAAATTATCGATAGCAGCGTGTATGGTGTGTTATCTTACATTGCAACCGTGGTCACTTTGACAGCTCACATGCCTATTGTGAATCAAATGGCAACTCCACTGTGACAGCTGCTACATAGCCTTCTTTTTTAATATCCGGTTCACGCAATTGGTTCGTGTTGTGACATTCTCTCGTTATTTTAATAAGAAAAATACGTTTTTAAGCCATAACTTCTAAACAAAAACATGAATTGCACAACAGGCAATAAGCACAATATATTTAAAGCAGATTTGCATCAAATTTTCTTGTTTTTGTTTCGTTGTGTCCGTGCCGCAATGGCAACTTTTTGTTTTGTTTTTTTTTTTTTTTTTTTTGATGTGCCTGTGCGAAGCTGCCATGTGCATAGCTTGAAAAATGTGAAAACAACTTGTTGAACTGTGTACATGCTTCTTCCCAACAGTTGCTGATTCGTCTTTATTTGCTGCAAAATGGCTCCCAGGAAGGCTAAAGTTCAGAAAGAGGAAGTGCAGGTCTCGCTGGGACCGCAGGTGCGCGATGGCGAGAACGTTTTCGGCGTTGCCCACATCTATGCCAGCTTCAACGACACTTTCGTGCACGTTACCGACTTGTCCGGTCGTGAAACCATCGCACGTGTCACTGGCGGCATGAAGGTCAAGGCTGATCGTGATGAGGCTTCCCCCTACGCCGCCATGTTGGCCGCTCAGGTTAGATTTCTTATCGACAGAATGTCCACATCATTTATGCTAATAATATTAATATTTCTGAACGTTTCAGGATGTGGCTGAAAGGTGCAAGGTTCTTGGCATTACTGCTCTGCACATCAAGTTGCGTGCTACGGGCGGCAACAAGACCAAGACCCCTGGACCCGGTGCCCAATCTGCACTGCGTGCTTTGGCACGTTCATCGATGAAAATCGGTCGCATTGAGGATGTCACGCCCATTCCATCCGATTCTACACGCAGGAAGGGAGGTCGTCGTGGTCGCCGTCTGTAAATTTGGCAACATACATGCACAAAAAATGCATATTATGTTCATGTACTTGTATGTTTCTAATTGATGAATACATTGTAATAAACCTAAAACACGGATGTCAATGCGACTTATAAGGGTTTGGTGACTGAAGCTATATTGGTAGAGTCATACAAGATATCAAAATGCTAGCACCGTCATGTCTGGATGTTATAAATAGTTACTTTTTGGCAAATTTTAATATTAAAGCTGTCGTCTATCGCATGGACAGACACGCTCTTCATAAATTGAATGAAGCTCAATTTGCCAGCAATAAAAGGATACATTATAGGTAGTCGCACATGATGGTGAGTTAGTTATATATAAATATTGTGTGCGGCGCTGTTCTATTGGTACAAAACAATATTAAATACTCATGCAATTTATAAGATTATATCTTAACATATTTTGCAACACTGTGCTTCAGCTGTTATGCAGCGAACAGCAGTAATCGATACTCATCGGAATATCGATAAAGTGTCAACAATCATTTATTCCCCAATAAGCAAGTCAGCACGTTGCTTCTATTTATTTAGTTTGTCAAAATGAATGACTTAAATCTGCGCGTGGCTGCCCTCAAATTGTGCGCGCATCCCAAACGCTTTGCCGAGATGCGCGGCGCACTTGTCCCGCTGCCGCCAAAGTGGTTAAATTGTGAGTACCAGGATCCTTCACAAATTGAAGTAATTTTTAATGCGAGCTTCTGGCGTGTTGTTTAGCACAAGTCGACTACGTGCTGAAATTCGCGGCAGCCACAAACTGTGCCAAACAAATGTCTATTGTTAAACAAATCTACGAGGAGCCACAGGCCTTCGGCTTTCTCGCCGATCTGCTATTCGTGTGCCCTCTAAAGCATCCCGTGCGCGGTGTTGTCACCAGGTATGAATCCGCAGTTTGTTGGTGAAGTGAGATGCCTTCATTTTACCTTTGACTCCTCTCGGTCAGGCTCTTCTCGAACAGCGAGTGCACCAAGAGGGGCAAAACAACCCATACTAAGGAAATTTTACTGAGCGCCCTGCGAGCTGCACTGCGCTACCTCGCGATGAGCATCAATAATAGCACCGTGCACGCCGACTTCCTGAACGATGTGTTCGTCTCGGTTAGCGCTTGCCTGCACAATTTCCCGTTTGGCCGCGATGCGCTCGCCCAGGAGATATACTGTTTTATACCATTGGTGCCCAAGGCATTGCGCCTGTACTGGACGACCATCAGGTAGGCAAGCGTAGCTTTTAGCTTTTGCTCTTAGTCGTAGATTGAGATGCAATGGATTGGGGCCTTGGCAATAATGTTGTATTACCTTGAGCACAGCCTACTTTATTTTAGGTTGAATACTAACTGACTTTATTTTGCAGTGAGCAGGGCGCGGAGCTCTCGCCGACACGTCGCAATGAGTTTTATTTATATATACAGAATCTGTTGCGCTTCCATGTCAACTTTATGACTGAGTACAAATTTCAGCTGGTTGTGGAGCGTTGCCAGCAATTGCGGTTCATCGATGAGGTGGCCGAGTGCGTGGCCCGTAACGTGGACACGCCGTGGGATGTGCGCGCCATAGCCGGCCTGTCGATCGGTCACAATGCGCGCCTGTTCAATGACTTTGATGAATACCTGACCAAATGCCAGGAGCTAAATGATTTTAACGATCTGCCCATTAAGGCAGCATCGCTGTTGGTGCTCCAAAAGAGCGACTATGCCAGCCGTTCGGCACAGGCATTGGACATATTGAAGCGTGTTTTGGATCAGGTCAAGGGCTCTGCCAGTATTACCAATTTTCTGGTGTATTTATCCAAGCACCTGCACACCTATTCCAAATCTTTGGCATTCATACAGCTGCAGGATCGTGCACAGATCATGTATTGCCTGATATTGGCCATGCTTATGCGCTTCTCCCTTGAACACATCTCGAGCAGCGTCGAATCGATTCGTCACATGTGCGCCAATATGCTGCATCAAGTGCTGCAGCATGCCAATGCCGCCGGGCAGACGAACATCATTGGACAGGTCTATGCACAGTTCGAGCGTCATCGCATGCCACTCCCATCTGTCTGTCTAATGCTGCAGCAGCTGGTCGAGGTGATGGGCACCAAATCAGTGCTGCAAAATTGCCCCAGCATCTTTGATAAAATGTTTCCCGCCTATCTGGGACTGGAGGATAGCGTCAATTCCCTGTTCAAGTGTAAGTCTTTAGCGATTTTTACTTAAGTTTAGTAATTGTCTTTGATTGGCTATTATTGATAGTCTTAACCTCAACCCTTTTTAATTAGTAATTTCCTTATTATAAGCGCTCAAACAACTTCGACTTCTTTTCAAAATCACTAAAATTTAATTTCAATTAATATTCAATGAATTTATAAGCTTCACTAAGTAAACTAAGTATAAGTTGAATAACAATTAATATTCAATCAACTGCAACTTTCAACTAGATTAAATTTAAATTTACATAATCAATGTAAAAGAATGCTCTGCATATAGACTATATTATATTATAAGCTTATATATATATTATATATACGTATGCTGTTAATTGAAAAGATAATTATTAATTAAAATATTCATTAATCAACATTGATTGATTAAAAGATTAAAGATTTTCTTTTGTAAGTGCAATTGATATATATTATATACTATTAATTTAATTTAATTCATTTGAATTTCAATCTTGCTTTTAGTTTCAGTTGAATTGAAATTGATTGATTCAGTATTGATTGAATAATAATTAATGAATTGAAAATTCAGTCCCACAAGCTTAAAAGAATATTTGAATTAATATTTAGAAAATTACAAGAAATATTAGAAAATATATAAATAAGAATTAAATTAATTAAATATTTAATTGAGGTCTTGAGCGCTCGAGGTCTGGTTAACTAAATATTTAAAAATTGAAAGGTCGCCAAAACCAGGAATAATTATTTAAATTCAATTATTTAATGCAAATATTGAAATTGGAAATTGCTTTGAGTTAAATGATTTAAGTTAGACTGTTTCCAAAATTAGTTAAAACTTATTAGCATTGTTATTTAATTTATATTATAGTATAGTTAGAAAATCAGGACCTTAAATTTAAAAACCTTTGGCTAGGACAAAACATCCACTCATAAGTCTAGAGTTCTAATACAGATTCTCGTTGCTCTGTATAATTATTATTATTATTTAAATAATTTGTGTTAATTAAACACCCTTTCAATTAAATTCCATTTCCAATACAATCAATTGTCATACAAATAATTGTCATATTAACGAAAATTCTGTTTAATCTATTTCAGGCATGATGACCGTTGCACACAGGGAAGAAGAATCGAAGGATTGGCTGAATATTTGGTGCACGGCTCTCATTAAGGCGGCACAGCCGTGCGACGATCGTCTGGCGTCGATTGAGCGGCTCATCAAGTCCGCCGTACAGCTGGAGCCGGATGTGCTGCCGGAGGTGCTCAAGCAGCGTAATCTGCCATTTAGCACCAAATTGGCGGCCCTGTTGACGGCACGTCGTCATGGCCAGCATCGTCTCGTCAAATCGCTGATGGCGGAGCACATTGAACAGATAAGTGCGGCCCTCATTGGCGTGGATGACAATACGCGCCTGCTCGCTCTCTGCTTTGTGGTGGAGACGCCGCGGCTCAGCGAGCCATACACGCGCTTCGAGCTGGATTCGATTATCAGTTATCTTCAGAACAATGCCAACAATCCCAGCGCCCATATGCGTCAGATTGGGCACGGGCTCATGCAGAAGGCGGTCAAGCGTTTGGAACACAATTTGGCCCAACAGATCAGGGAAACGACGACTGTTAGTGAGGATCACATGTTGATTAACTTTTTGAACACACTGTTGAATATGTTGGCCCTGAATTTGTTTCCCACCGCCAACTATGGACGTCGCTGGCTATCGATGCGCATATTACGCGACTGCATCGAAATGCTGGAACGTCTGGGTATGTCCTGGCTGGAGAGAATGCCGCCGCAAACGTTGCCCTTTGTGGATCATTGCCTGCGCGACAGTTATGAGCACAACAAATTGCAGGCTGCCCATTTGTTGGCCAAATTGCAGAAATGCTCACGCCAGCAGCCCGCTGAAATGATGGAGATGCTGCTATCGGCGCGTCCGCCAGACTCCGCCACTGGCGCCTACCAGCTGCAGGTGTATTGCAAGGCGGCTGAGGTGGAAACGCCGCTGCCAGAGACACTGGACCTGCCCAAGCATCATCCACGCTATTATGCCGCCCTGCAGCTGTGCCTGCAGCATCTGCGCGCCGGCATTGTCCTCGCGCAGACCGATCTAACGTTGGCGGCCAAGACGAATCCACTGTACGGCCTGCTCTTCGCCAGTCGCCATTTGCTACAGCAGCTGGAGCTAAAACAACTGGCCGAGGATATACTCTGGCGTCAATACGTGGATCAGTTGTTGCATCTCTGCATAACGATCAGTGACATTGTGCTGCCCGTGGTGGGCAGCGAGTCGCCGGAAGGCCATTTGCCTGGCGAATGGGCCAGGCCCACAGAGGAGGAGGATGACCCAAAACTGGAGTCCAAACAGGAGCTGGATACGCTGTCCATAGTGCCGCAGCTGGTGTTGTTGTGCGCCTGGCGCAGCATCAAGGAAATATCCCTTCTAATGGGCGAACTGGTGCAGCGTGCACCGCTGCAGCAGGAGCGCAAACAGCACTATCTGCTCAGCCAGGAGCAGGTGGCAATAATTGGCGAACAATTTCTGTTGCTGCTCGCTGATATTAAGCACCGCGGCGCCTTTGAGCAGGCCTATGTCGGCTTTTCGCTGCTCTGTCGACGTTTCTGGCATAGCGATGAGCCGGCATTGAATCAATTGCCGCCCGTTTGGCTGGACGAGGCCATGCAACTGGTTGTCGGCGATGGCGGCAAAGATTTGTGCGCGACAAGACGCAGCGCCGGCATGCCCTACATGCTGCAGGCGCTCATCTGCACCGAGCTCAAACTGGGCACCCATCATACGTTCAGCAAGAGCATGTCCCTGTTGCTCGATGTCTGTGAGCGTCGTGGACCAGGTCCGGATGCGGCCGTTGCCCGTAGCCATGCGATGAACATAATGCGTGCGCTCTTCCGCTGCAGCGAACTGGCCGAGCTGGTGGGCGAGTTTGTGGGGCGTGGCATTATGTGCGCCTTGGAGAGCCTGGTCGCCGTCGAATGGGCCGAACGCAATAGCGCCACATTAATGCTATCTGCCCTGATGGTGCGCATCTTTGGCGTAGAGCGCGCCCGCACCGATCTGGGCGAGCTGCACGTGCGCAATCGCATGACCGGACGCATCTTCTTCACACGCTATCCCCAGCTGTTTGATTACTTTCATGCTGGACTCAAGCAGGCGGCGGAAGAAGAGCAGACATCGGGTGGCCACACAGTTCAACTGGAGGCCACGCTCCAGCTGCTCAGTCGCCTCTATCCATCCTCCATGGAGGGCGCCGAGTCCAGTTTAAATGTGAGCACTTCAAATGTCAACTGTTTAACCATATGTATGTTTAATCTATTGCTATATGCTTATTTAACAGCTCAGCGAATTTGTGCCTTTCCTGCAGCAAATCGCTTGCGTGCACGATAATACGACACGCTACCGAGCCAGCCAGGTGTTGGCCAACTTCGTGAACGCCACCACGGCCATCAAGCGTATACGCCGGATTGCGATGGTCTTCAAAGTGCTTAACTTTAGGCACAAGAAGGTAAGTTGAGTATTTGCTTAAAGGAATTACCAATGTGGGCAATTCCAGGGACAAGCTGTGGGTCAAAACCAGTATTAGAATAAGAAGAAGAAGACGTCTTTATACTTCATATATATTCTTGATCAGTTTCAAGAGCCGCTTCGATTTAGCCCGACTGTTTGTCCGTTTGCTTCAAGGCGTCTATCTAGAAAAGTGTGGGACTTATGTAATCTTTGAGCACATAAAATCATATTTATTTCAAGTCATCGATAACTCGTCTCGTTTTCCGACGAAATCGATAAGTATCGATTTGAACATTCTGTTTTTTGACCATATCTCGGAGGTTATAAGAGCGAGAGAGTTCAAACTTGGTATACTTGGCAGTCGCATAGTCTGCACAGATGCAGAATATTTCAGTTTTTCGATACCTCACCCGGTTCTGTCAAAAATTTAAAATATATATCTCATTCATATACACACCACACATATGAGTGCTTTATATTTTTGGATTAAAAATGTCATAAATATCGGACAATATGCACCGAAGTTATTGAAGAATGGATATCCCCTACGGAGCCTTGGCAAAGGGAGGAAGAAGCTCAGCGAATCGTGTGATTGTGTGTGTTTTTGTTGTGAATGCATGGATAGCGAGAAGCTAGACTATTTACAAAAGCTTAGGCTTAGGGTATCTTCCAGTCGAGCACGCCCGACTAGAGCACTCTTAGTTGTTGCTTAGTCATTTAAACAAAATGTAATTCTCATCGTTTTCGCTTTTGTTCAATTGTTATTGATTGAAAGGCTTTAGTTTTGTGAAGAGTACAAATATCGTTTCGTTCTTTCTCATTTTAAGTTAACATTTAAATATTAATTTAATCATTTACTTTCAAAGCATGGCACTCTACCGAAAGATTTAAATAAATTGCATGGCATAACGCTGCAATTGATGGAACTGTATCGAATCGCACGCTGGCAGGATGTGAGATTGATCAGCACAACGATGTACATGCTCTCGTTGGCCGCCATCAAGATATATGAGCACAATATGTTCATATTTAATGCCATACTGAATGTACTGATTGCCATTATGCAGGATGCACAGGATGGCAAATACTTTGGCGTCGCGCTGCTCAACGCTCTGCTGGTCGTCTATGAGCTGGACCATGAGGCCGTCTATAAACGTTGTGAGCTGCACGCGATTTCACCGAAATTCTATGTGCTCTTTGGGCTACATTTGCAGCGGCTGACACAGAAGCCGGAAAACCTGCTGGAGACCATGCAGAAGTTGCTGGTGCAGCCGGAAAATCTGCCATCGACATTGCAGCAGTTGAAGATCGATTTGTGGCTTTATGTGCTCATCCAACAATCGAATGGATGCAGCAAAACGCGCGGCCTTGTCGAAAGCTACGAGGTGAAGCACTTCCAGTTCGATCCGGATGTGATGCTCTATTATAAGTCGCTGTCGCCAGCTCAACGTCTGGCGCTGGCAGCCCAATTACGCGAATCGGACGATGTGCAGCAGCATGTCATGAAGATCGCTGCGGTCGTTGAACGCGGCCCACGCTGGGCGCCCGGCATGGCTGGTCGTGTCTACGCCCTGCTGGCCATGCTGAACAAACTGGAGCTGACCACCAAGCAGCTGCTCGAACGCGGCGGCTTCGACGCGGAGCCGGGCATCGTCATCTGCATAACGCGGCACATCATGCAGAGCGGCATGCGGCAGCAGTATCAGCCATTGTGGCTGCCACTGATACGCTATGCCCTCCACATAGCGGCACCCAAAAAGAAGTCCTATCTGCGCTACAGAGCTGCCCAGCTACTGGATCGCCTCACCGTGCATGTACAGCAGGTTCTGTACTCGGACGATGCGGACATCATTGGCAACTATATACGTCTGGTGCTGCAGCTCCTGGTCGACGAGTCGGAGCTGGTGCGCAATTATACATCTGAGATGGTATCCAGCTGCATGGGCCTCTATCTGGCCGGTGATCTGGCGCTCGGTGATGTCTCAACCGTTAGCCTGCTGCCCATGGCAGCTGAGAAGTTCTTTCTGCAGCACATGCTCGACGGCCTGCAGCGATATAAGACAAATGGCAGCTTTCTGATAGCCATATTTAATCTGATTGTCGAGCCGTTCGTTAGCTCCGAGCTGCTGGTCAATCGCACTGTGGATGAGGATTCAAGCAAGGCGCTGAATGGTGACGATGACGCCGAAGTCTTCGATAAGCAGGAACTCAATCTCTACTGTGAGGGACTGCGCGTTGTGTCGCATGTCGCGAAGAGTTTTAAGATTGCATTTGCCAACAATAGGGAGCTGACCACCGCCCTCAACGCCTTGGAGAAATTGTGTTCATATAACGGGTTTGGCGATCAGCCCATTCCGCCCAGAATTATATCGTAGGCGTATTGCTCGAATGATCTAAGGAGAGAGCTAAAGAGGCTTTACTATTAGTACAAAAACAATTGTATTTTATATCCGATTGGATTTTCAACACATTAAAAGTCATGTACTTATAAAATATATATACAAGCTTTATTGAAGCTAAAAATTAAATTCAGAATAAGTTTTGTATTATTAAAGGTATATACATTTATTGAATTGAACATTTTTAATTATACTATTCTAAGGAGAAAACAAAAACAAGAACATCATCAAATGAAATGCTGAACTGCCTTTCTAATTGTCTCTCTCTCTCTCTCTCTCCTTCGCTCTCTTCCCATTTTCTCGCTCGCGCTATCTCTTTCTAACTCACGCCTAAACTCTGCTTGGTCCTTTACCCAGTAAAAAGATCGAAATCTGTAACTTTAATTTATGAAAATCGCATTGAAAGATAATATTTAAGAAATGAACGGATAAATAACGAGTTTCACTTTAAGCTCGCTGCATTATGTACTATTACTTACTATGTAATATGCAGTCTATCTTGCTTTAAATCTAACCTTTCTCCTTGGTCACAGGTTAAATATGCATCGCTTTTCTACGCAATTCTCAGATTTACTGGTCACTCTGTGGGAGGCATTTCTAATGCAGATTTTATTTATTCTGTTTTTGGCTTTTATATAAAAATACTTCATAATTTACAATAATGTTTAATTTATTTGATCAAAAACTGACTACCAGAAGTTGAAATCATGTTTATATTCTCTAAAAATTACTTAAAAAAATTCATAGAAATAATTGTAAAAACGCAATTTTAAACTTTTCTTGAGCTTTTTCGTTTAATTGTTGGTTTTTAACAAAGTTAATGTAACATATTAAAAAATTGTTTGGCATTAAATTAAATAAGCGCTGTTAGCTAGTCTGCACTGCTCGTTAGTTTAGCTAACATCATTTCGTGCTGTAATTTCCATGCGTGTTAATGTTAACAACCCCTATCGATAGGCGCACACTGATACCACTGTTAAATAACAGCCCAAACGTTAAGCGATATATCGGGCCGTTAAGCCATCACTATAGAGAGCGCCAGTCTGATAAGATGCTCGTGAGCGTGTGTGTCGAGTGTCCGCGTTAAAATTTTTTTTCGCTGCGTGTGCGTGTGCTTTGGCAACGGCAGCTGCTGCTGTTGTTCTTTTATTTTTTTGTTATTTTTTCTAGTTTGTTGAGTTTGAATGTGCATATGCCATTAACATTAAATGCAAGCAGCTAATACGCAAGGCAATTCAATTCCAATAAGAGCACTCCTGCATCATTAAATTGTGTACGCAAGCGGGCGGGCGTTCGCCCCAATACTCGAATTGTGTACATAAGTGTGTGTGTGTGTTGATGTTGTTGTTGTTGTCAATTTGCTTGGAAAATACAAATCCCAAATTCATACATTTTATAAGTTGGAAAAAATGCGCCCAGTTTTTAATAGAGTTCTGCTACGGCTGCTCCAGTGTGTATCTCCTTGTCCTTTGTGTGTGCGTGTGTGTGTGTGCGTTGTTGGTTTTGTTAATTTCAGTTTTTCTTTTGTTGATGTTTTAGCAATGTGCCCAATGCCCAGTGTGTCTGTATATGTGTATGTATACGTGAGCAAACTACGCACAGCGTTGCCATATCTTCACAAATGAGCGAACGTAAACAAATGTCTTGTAACTTTTTAACTTACATCCATATGTGTGTGCTTGTCTGTATCTGTGTGTACGTGAGTGTTGGCGCATTTGCATAAAAGGCTTGAAACAGCCGCCGCAGCCGTTGTAATGCATAAATTATGATGAAATCTGCTCAAAATGCGTGTTAACCGATTTGTTTATGTTCAATTACTAAAAAAAAGTGTTGCATATTTTATAGGCAAAAACAGTGCAAAAGCACTAAAAACAAATGAAAAGACAATTTAATCAAACAAAAACAAACAAAATAATTGCATTTAAACTTGAAACAACGCAGCGCCTACGCTAGGCGGCTCATCACCCAAATGGCGCTGCTGCTGCCAATGCCCAGGAATGGCTTTGGCTTAAACTGTTACTGGTATTCCCAGCTCACCTAAAAAAAACACTGCTAGTGAGAGAGGGAGAGAGCGAGAGCGCGCGCGCGCCCGCCCGCCCGCCAACTGAAAGAAGGCGCGAGTGCAAGCGAGCGAGAGCGTAAGGTAAATATGTGTGTGTGTATGTATGTGCATGTAACTGTAGCTTAAGAGCTTGACTTTTGACACATGTGTATGTGTGAATGTGCTTGTGTGTTGGTGTTAGCTGAAAAAGAGATCTTGCCTAAAAAACTTTAAATTCGAAGGTAGACAATATTAAACTATTGCTCATCTTACACTATGTTTATTATATATGTAAATGTATTTATCATTATCGTGGTATTTTGAATGAATTGTAAACGAGATTTGTAGGTATGTCTAAATCCTGATTATACCCTGTAATGAAAATGTATTGAAAATGGGTACACAGTTTTATCGATCTAGGCATGTCTGTCAGTGTGTCCCTTCAACAAATCTAGAATATTCGCAAATTTTGTTTGAAACTATCGATTCCTTTCCCTTTTACACGTAAACTTTGAACTTTTGTAAACACAAAGATTTGAATGCTATCCTTAAGCCTTTTAAATTGGCTTAAAGCTTTGATAATCCATAATCCCAGCTCCGAATATTCTATCGAAGGTCTCGAGGGGAAAGGCAATTGTGAAGCCCAAAGTAAACCTCTAAAAATTAAAAAAAAATATATAACCATTGTTTAGAGCTGAAAAATATTTTTATCAATTTGTTAATTTTCACTTTTAAATATCCTGACAATTTTATATAAGCAAAATTTTGTGAATATCAGTAACTGATTTTTAATTCATAATATAGAATTTTAATAAATGGGATCCGTTATTTATACCAGCCTTAGACTGGGCTTAAATAACTTCCGTTGCCTAACACATGCCAAGCAAAAAATACAGATTTTTCTTTTGTCGGAATATTCCTTTGACAAAAATTTCCCTTAACTCTCGTGTCAGGTCGGCTCTCCACGATTTAATGAAGAGACGCGACGCCAAAGAACCGACGGGTAGAAATTGCGACTAAAATTTTCATTGTTTGTCACGCGCTGACACTTGAACCAGAAAAAAAGGGAAAAGAAATTAAAAGTGAAGTGGAAAGTCGCTGAAACAACTGACTCAGCTGTTTCCTCTGACATGCAAATGAAATATCGAGCACATACATATGTATGTAATGTAAAAGATAAAAATGTGTAGTCATCAAATTAAACAGGGATAGGGAACAAGAATTGTGCACGATGGGAACATTATTTTTTATTTTGGATTAAATAACCAACTGGGTAAAACGTGTACATGATTTTTGGGACAATGTATGTAACAGGGGGTAGGAAGTATTAACGATACCATAAAGTATACATATATAGTATTGACAGCGACGACAAGCCGAGTTGATCTATCCGAGTCTCGTGACCTTGTATATATGAACGAGTCTTGATCGGATAGATAAGCAATAGACTTGAAATATATATATTCTCGTATACCGTAATCATGACCGTAATCAGGCTTATCACTTTTTCGATAACTCCTTCCATTTGCATATTATCGATAAATTTCGATTTTGAGATATGGTTTTTAAAACAAAACTCGTAAAATTTAAAAGCTAGATGCGCGAAACTACAGATACAAATACAGATACAGATACAGATACAGATATAGATACAGATATAGATACAGATATAGATACAGATATAGATACAGATATAGATATAGATACAGATATAGATACAGATATAGATACAGATATAGATACAAATACAGATACATACACAGATACAGATACAGATACAGATACAGATACAGATACAGATACAGATACAGATACAGATACAGATACAGATACAGATACAGATACAGATACAGATACAGATACAGATACAGATACAGATACAGATACAGATACAGATACAGATACAGATACAGATACAGATACAGATACAGATACAGATACAGATACAGATACAGATACAGATACAGATACAGATACAGATACAGATACAGATACAGATACAGATACAGATACAGATACAGATACAGATACAGATACAGATACAGATACAGATACAGATACAGATACAGATACAGATACAGATACAGATACAGATACAGATACAGATACAGATACAGATACAGATACAGATACAGATACAGATACAGATACAGATACAGATACAGATACAGATACAGATACAGATACAGATACAGATACAGATACAGATACAGATACAGATACAGATACAGATACAGATACAGATACAGATACAGATACAGATACAGATACAGATACAGATACAGATACAGATACAGATACAGATACAGATACAGATACAGATACAGATACAGATACAGATACAGATACAGATACAGATACAGATACAGATACAGATACAGATACAGATACAGATACAGATACAGATACAGATACAGATACAGATACAGATACAGATACAGATACAGATACAGATACAGATACAGATACAGATACAGATACAGATACAGATACAGATACAGATACAGATACAGATACAGATACAGATACAGATACAGATACAGATACAGATACAGATACAGATACAGATACAGATACAGATACAGATACAGATACAGATACAGATACAGATACAGATACAGATACAGATACAGATACAGATACAGATACAGATACAGATACAGATACAGATACAGATACAGATACAGATACAGATACAGATACAGATACAGATACAGATACAGATACAGATACAGATACAGATACAGATACAGATACAGATACAGATACAGATACAGATACAGATACAGATACAGATACAGATACAGATACAGATACAGATACAGATACAGATACAGATACAGATACAGATACAGATACAGATACAGATACAGATACAGATACAGATACAGATACAGATACAGATACAGATACAGATACAGATACAGATACAGATACAGATACAGATACAGATACAGATACAGATACAGATACAGATACAGATACAGATACAGATACAGATACAGATACAGATACAGATACAGATACAGATACAGATACAGATACAGATACAGATACAGATACAGATACAGATACAGATACAGATACAGATACAGATACAGATACAGATACAGATACAGATACAGATACAGATACAGATACAGATACAGATACAGATACAGATACAGATACAGATACAGATACAGATACAGATACAGATACAGATACAGATACAGATACAGATACAGATACAGATACAGATACAGATACAGATACAGATACAGATACAGATACAGATACAGATACAGATACAGATACAGATACAGATACAGATACAGATACAGATACAGATACAGATACAGATACAGATACAGATACAGATACAGATACAGATACAGATACAGATACAGATACAGATACAGATACAGATACAGATACAGATACAGATACAGATACAGATACAGATACAGATACAGATACAGATACAGATACAGATACAGATACAGATACAGATACAGATACAGATACAGATACAGATACAGATACAGATACAGATACAGATACAGATACAGATACAGATACAGATACAGATACAGATACAGATACAGATACAGATACAGATACAGATACAGATACAGATACAGATACAGATACAGATACAGATACAGATACAGATACAGATACAGATACAGATACAGATACAGATACATTTCACTTTTTGCTTACCATATCTCTAAAAATTGACGTAAACGTATTGTTAAAATTACAGCTTTGCGCTTTGTTTGGGTGCATTTCTCATAGTGTCGGCTTAAGGGGCAATCGGTGTGCGTTTGTGTGTGTTTTAATATATGTTCAGCCTTAGGATATCTGCTAGTCGGGTACTTTCGACTAGAGCGTGCTTACTTGTTTTCCTTTAATTCTTACTACGCTTTTACCAACCAGGGCTAGGGTTTATACACTTAACCATTTAATTTAATAGCAAAACAGTTTCGAATAAAGACCAAGGTGGTTTTTAAATTCACACCTGACTTTTTTACAGTGTAGCGTAGACGTGTAACTAGCACAAATCGAGTTTAGTAAGAAAACATTTCTAGCATAGGGTATGCATTGCGTCGAGCACATGTAACGATAAAATTTGCCTTTAGGTTTATCCTTCTTTCTCTTTCTGTCTCTCTTATGAGCTTTATCTCTCTTTCTCTTCCCTTGCACACACTAGTCTCTTGGCTGGGCAGCGCACAGAGATGGGTCCGAAGAAGCGTTCCAGCGTCGCCGAGCGACAGCAGCGCTCCACAGCTGCGGCTGCTGCGGCGACGACGACGGCGACGTCTGCCACAGCGACGACGTCGGCGTCGACGTCAAAGAAGCGCAGCAGTGGCAAGCAGCAAAAGCTAACGGACGAGCCGGAGGATAAAAGGTGTGCCAAATCGGAGGCAACACCAACAGCAATAAAGCGACAGCAACAGCAGGCGACGGGGTCCAGTGCAATAGCAACAACAACACCAACAACAACAACAGCTGGAGCAGCAGCAACATCCGCTGCAACAGCAACAACAACATTAGCCTCAGCCACTGCCAGCACGGAGAAGTCTGGCGGATCAAGTACGCTAAAACTGTCGCCGGAGGAGCGTCAGGAGGACGGCAAGGCGCGAGCCATAAATAAAATGCTCAAGAGTCTGGACATTAAGATTCATGGCTTTGACAATCTGCTGCCCAGCGGCGAGGAGCGCATGAGCGAGGGCCTCAAGTCCTCCATATCGGAGAATGTGAAGACCAAATCGCGCGCAGCAGCTGTCAAGGTCATAGCCAGCCTGAATCCTGGCAAGCCGCTAAATGTCAAGCGCCAGCGTGTGGACAACGAGGCCAGCAAGTTGGACAGGGAGCGCGACAAGGAGAAGGAAAAGGAGAGGGATAAGGATAAGGATAAGGACAAGGAAAAGTCCAAGGAGCCGGAGGCAGTATTAAGCGAGCCAAAGGATGCTCATTGCGATAGCAAAGAATCTCCTGGTGCCAAAGGCGCCAAACAGTCCGCGGCCAAAAAGGCCAAGCTCGAGCCGCCGTCCACATTGGCAGCCAAAGCGACAAAGGCGGCGCCCAAAAAACAACAACAACAACAACAACAAACGCAGCAACAAACGCCAAAAGACAAGGCCAGGGGCGGTGTGGCAGCACCCAAGGGTGGCAAGAAGGGCGCGCAAGCAACAGCAACAACAACAATAACAACAACAACAGCAACAACAACAACAGAGTTGGAGCAGAGCAAATCGAAGACACGCACCCAGCTGGACTCCAACACGGAGCTGGTGCACATGGATTTGGAGGAAATCAATAGTATGCAAACACCGCCAACGCCGACAGCGACGCCAACGCCAACGCCGGCGCCGACGCCGACGCCCATGGCCACACCCATAGAGTCAACGCCCACGGGCAGCGGGATAATAACACCAAGCCCTGCAGCTGCAGCAGCTGCGCCCGCCAAGCAGCGGCCCAAAAACAAATACAGCAAAACATCAGCGGGCAAAGGCCGACTGCAGCAGGCCTGCAGTAAAACGGCGCTGAGCTCCTTGAATGCGGCGAATGATATATACGATTTCAAGAGCGGCTCCGAGGATGAGGAGCCTATCAAAATGGTGCTGCCAACGCTGAAGGAGCTGCGCGAGTTTTCCGACGAGGATAACAGGCCGCTCAAGCAGCTGGAGCAGAAGCTGCTGGCCAAGGACGAAAAGGCCAAACAGGAGCAAGCAGCAGCAACAGTTGCTGCTGTGGAGCCGCCGATCAGCGCTGGCAAAGGCGGCGGCAAGAAGCAGATCAAACGCAAGCTAAATACGCCCACGTTGACAACAACAGCGGCAGCAGCCGCAGCAGCAGCAGCAACAACAACGACAGGTGGCACAACAGCAACAGTTGGTGCTGGCAAAAAAAAGCAAGCGGCAGCCAAATCAAAGCTGCCAACGCCGCCGGCAGCGGCGGTCAGCGATAGTTCGCGCTCCGAGAGCAGCGATTCGGAGGATGAGAAAAAGCTGAGCAGCTATGGGGCCAAGCGGCATCGCATGGCCTCGCTGAATGCGCTGGCCAAGGTGCAGTGCCTCTATGAGAATGAATCCCGTACCGCCCATGAGCTGGGCCTATCCAAGGCGACGCAGCAGCCGCCGCGCATACGCACGCTCGATGGCAGCGACGATGATAACAACAAAAGCGAGCTGCCGCCAGACAGGGACAGGGACAGAGACCGAGATAAGGAAAAAGACAAGGATAAGGAGAAAGCAGAGGCAGAGATTGTCGTGGAGCCGCGTCGTGAGCTGCGCTATGTGCCCGGCGGACGCGGCGTGGGCAAGCATTGGGAGTTCGATAGCGACAGCGAGGCGGAGGAGCTGCAGCTGCAGCGTTTGCAGCAGCAAAAGAAGAAGAAGCTGCAGAAGAAAACGACCGCCAAGAAGCAAACGCCAGCGGCTGGTGATAGTGAATCCAAGAAGAAGAGCCATCACAAAAAAGTCCCAGTCGAGGACAGCGATACGGAGACGCAACAGCATGCCCAGCATGACGCCGATAGCAAGGACAAGGATCGTGACAAGGAGAAGGCAAAGGATATGGATAAAGCCAAATCCAAGCCGCCGCCCAAACAGCTGCCCAAGAAGCGCAAAAGCGCCTTCACCGAGGAGCTCATTGGCGACTATAAGGGCATATTGGCGCGCAAGCGCATGGCCAGCCTCAATGCCAGCGCCATTGTGGCGGCCACCTACGAAGTGGAACGGCATCTGGACAAGAATTTGGCCAGCGATTGCAGCAGCTTTGAGAGCTACGATGAGCTGGAAACCACAAGGCCGACGGTTACGAAGGTAACCAAGGCTACGAGCGCGACCAAAGCCCAAGCCGAGCTGCACATCAAAAAGGAGCCCAAAGATTGCAAGGATAAGGACACCAGAGAGTCCAAGGAGGCCAAAGAGCTAAAGGATCTTAAGGATGCGGCATTAAGCAACAAGCCGCAGAGCAATATGATCGAGGAGAGCAACGATTCCAAGTACTCCAAGGAGACCAAGGAGACGAATACGGACACTACCATTACAACAACTGGCTATCGTGGCGATTCGAGCAGCGCTAAAGATGCCAAGGACTGCAGCCGTCCAACGTCATCCAGTGTGGTCATTGTTCAGGACACGGATGTCACCATTACCGGCGTCTATGTGAATGCCAGCAATGGTGCCGCCCAGGAGGCATATTGTAAAATGCAGTATCGTGTCCAGTCCAGCGTTACCGAGGAGCGCCTTCTGCGACCCGGCTCCGTGGAGCCACCCAAATCCTATACGCCACTCAGCGCTCTATCCAGCATGCTGCCACCTGGTGCTAGTTCCGGTCTCAGTGAGGGTAAGTTACAGATTCATAAAGAATCCTATTAAAACTTTATTATTTTTTAAATTTCACCAATATGGCAACGCTGACAATCGATTACACTTTTTCGATTAATTGACCTAAGAATCGAATATAAATTTATAGTTAAATTTTTTAATAATATGGCAACGCTGACAATTGAATTAAATGATTTCGGTTAATTGATCTTAGAATCGAACACAAAAGTAAATATTTTTAAATTTTAATGAAGTGGCAACGCTGAAATTGCATATACTTTTGCACTGATAAAATTTAGAATCAAATATTAAAATTTTAAAATTTGAAAAATATGACATCGCTGACAATCGAAGAAAAGTATTTCAATTAATTGACTTTAGAATCAAATATAAACATAAATATTATAAAATTTTTATAATATGGCAACGCTCAAAATTGAATAAACTTATTTCGATTTATTCAATTTATAGAATCAAAAAAAACGTAAATATATGTATAATTTGATAATATGGCAACCTTTATAGCCGATATACCGTTTTTCATATATAAAATTCCATTTTAAGTCTAAAATGTGAAAATTATGGCAGCGCTGACAATTCAGTTGCCGTTTGCTTTGGGTATTTCAAAGTATATGGCAACGCTGATAATTTTTTGGCAACTGGCAAAAATTATTTATCGATTTCAATAAATGTTGAAGCACCGGCACAGAAACCTTATCAAAGTTCTTTAAATTTTCTATAGTTGTATTTTCACTGACTGAATAATGTTAATATTGGTAGAATGTGACAAATGTTAAAAATGTCATTTGAACATGAATAAGTCTTGAGATCATATATTGATATTTTACCAGAAAATATTAATCGACTTCTTCAAAATAATCTGAATGTTTGTTCGAATAAAATAGTTAAACATATTAAGATTATTCAACTTTTTATCGAAACGCCAATATTGTCAACGAAATGCACTTTATTCAACGATTCATATCCAATTTAATTCGGTTGTTAATCATTCAATCATGATTGACAACATACTTATATTTTCATTTTTGCCGCTTGCAGCGCACAGCTCGCCGCCGCTGCCCGTGCAACCGCCGGCGCCGCACGTGCTGCTGCCGGGCGAACCGCTCAGCGCGGGCATGTATCATGCGCCGGATTTGGGCCTGCATACAGAGCATATGCCGCCGGATCATCATGGACCGCCGCCGCCATCTTATGCAGCCGCTGCGGCTGCAGCTGCCGCGGCCGCTGCCGCTTACCATGCCCATCAATTGGCGCCCGCCGGCAGCGGAGTGCTGCACATGCATCATCAGCATCAGTATGCGGCCGCCCATGCAGCGCATGCGGCACACGCCCATCATTACCAGCAGGCGGCAGAGTATCATGGTGGTCCGCCACCGCCGCCTCATCATTATGGTGGACCGCCGCCGCAGGCCCATTACGGTCCGCCGCCGCCGCAGGGTGGTCCGCCCACGGTGCCGCCGGATCGTTGCGATGTTGGCTCACCGCCGCCTTCGTATAGGGCTAGTGCATATCCGCCACCCCCGCCAGTCGGGCCACCGCCAACGCTGGGTGGCGGCTCAAGCGCATTCTGTGCGCCCAACCCCCATCATCATCATCAGCAGCATCAGCAACAGCAGGCGGGTCTGCCGCCACCACATCACGATCCCAGCGGTAAGTCGCCGGTTCAAAGAGACCAAATTTATATTTTACATAACAAACTTTATTCTTGGTTGGTTGGCCCAAAAAGAAATTTTGCCTTTTGTTATGCTCCCTCACATGGAGAGGGTATTAAAAGTACGCGAATTATCCAATGAATCGCTTGGACATCTACTGTACATCTTACAATATATTTTGTTGCTCGTTCCATTCCAATGTTCCCAATGTGAAGCAACAATTTAAGAAATCTAGCAAAAATTTTAAGTACACTATACCAAAGGACGCATAATATATTAAATCTTTTCTTTAAACTTCATAAAAATTTACGAGTATTTGCAGTCTGTTCTAATTCCACTACGTTCCTTTTTAACTTGTCGTTACGCCTGTCGACAAACAATATTTGAAAGGCTGCTCCATTCCATTTCGTTGCACATGTGGAAAATTTGTCCCAAATTGCACTGACACAGTCCAAAAGCCATAGAGAAATGATCCCATTTCGTTCCTCTTGTGCAAAATATTTAAAGCTTGGCGCGAAAATTCATCTTGAAAATCCCATTCTGTTTCATAACATTTAGATTTCTTATGGAAACGTTAGCAATTAGAACATTCCATAACTAAATGCTATCGTCTTGCAAATGGTTTCATCATGTCCTAAATGATGATAGAGCATCATCAATTCGAAATGAACATTTTATAGAATTTCATTTCATTGGCAATGGGCCAAAACTTGAACACTGACTTGCCACGCCCCCTTTGCAACGCCTGCTTTGATTTCAGTTATCAGCAAACAATGAGCGGCAATTTCTGCTGTTTCCAAAAAGTTTTCAACGCAACGGATAACTTGGCGATTGCCCGCCGGGCAGGGCGCACTTTTTGGCTCTGATTAGTTATTAAAGAGCTTGCCAAAGCTGCAAACTTCAAAGCGTGTGTGTGAGTGTGTGTGTGTGTGTGTGTGTGTGTGTGTGTGTGTGTGTGTGTGTGTGCCGCCCTCATCTGCAGCGTTTGTGCAGGCTGCTTAAAAATGAAGAAAAAATCATTGCATACATTTAGGCGCGCGCATAGAAACTCAGCCGCTGTGTGTGTACAGATGTATGTGTGTGCGTGTGTGTGTGCGTTGCCCAAAGCCGGAAACTGTAAGCAGGCAAGCAGCAAACGGAAACCGAGACCAGAGACCAGAGAAAATGCAAGCAAAAAGTAAACACGCTGCACTCGCAGTCGCAGTCGCAGTCAGCGCCCGTTCGCGACTGAGCAGCCAGCCAACCTCCATTGATGTCATTTACCTTTTGGTACAGACACACACACACATACACACAGACACACACACACACACACAATCTCACAAAACCACACACACACACACTTATATAATCGTTCATATGAATATATATATAACCACAAGGAAACATGTTACACAGACAGACTAATACATATGCAGTTTACAGAAAGTTGCCGCTTGCAGGCGCCTTAAAGTGTGCTACATAACTTTTCAGAGTCTGTAGATGATTTAATAACGTGCCAAGCCCAAGGTTAATAATGAAAACATTCAGTCAACGCCTAACTATCTATATATATATCGATTTTAATTGAGTGCATTTGTTTATTATTCAATTACATGAAATTAGTAAATTCACCGATTGGTTTGTTCATATATCAAATTGAATTGGAGAAATATGGTAATATGGTAATATGGGAAACATATGGGATAGTCTGAATTAATACTCTCACTCGTCTATCGAAATACTTCCAATCGAGGTAATATTTTGAATAAACATCTTACATTAAAGGATGGCGTTAAAAACTTGTACTCAATTAGGGATATGAGTTATTCAGAGCCCAAGATCAAGTTTAAACGTAAAACTCCCTTGAATAAAATGCCATAAGAACCGGCTCTTGCTATGAGATACATTTATACACTTATATTGCAATCAATTTATCGATTCACATTCATTTTGCAAACAGTAGTCCCTTATCTTCTGATCAAATAAGTCATAAGCTGACAGCAGTTATAGTGTCAATTGGTCTAAAAATGGATTCATGACGCGTTTACATTGCGTTCGGTGTGAATGCACTCATTCATTAAGCTGTTATTCATTTGCCGTTGATTGCAGTGTTCTCTCCCTCTATTAAGTAGGCTACCATTTCGATTGTCCCACATGCAGTCGCATGCCTTTACACATATATATTTATATATAGACATATATGTACTAGTTGTTTGTATTTCTTTTTTATTATCCCCTCATCCATTCATTTATCCTTGTCCATTCGTCGCCCTGTCCGCTCTAACATTTACGTTGTGCCGACAGTTGATAATTCATTAGCACATGTTCTATTTGACGTTCGTTCATCCATGTTGAAGTGCACACATACCAAGGCACACACACACATATACACACACACCTTCATACAAACACATAAGCGAAATTGAGAGCGCGCTGCGCTGCCTTTTGTCCTGACGCCTTGACGCCCCCAAAAGCTGCGGCCGCTGCTTCTTTTGGCTGCTGCGTCTCTGTTACAAACTGCTGATAAACGTCAGGAACGCGCGAGAGAGAGAATGAGAGCGAATAAAAGCGCGCAGAGAGTGCAGCAAGGATAGTTTTATATGCTGCTGTTGTTGTTGTTATTACTTTTTTTTTATTTATTTTTTTTTTTGTCAGAGCCGGCTGCCCGGCATCGTCTGCGTCGTTGAGTTACGTTTTAGTGCTCATTTAGACGTCGGAACGACAACGTAACGTAACGAATCGGCGACGGCAACGATGCCGACGACGTTTGTGGTTGGAATACGAAGATGATAATGTCGACATCTCATGATAATTACGTTCATGATGATGTTGTTTATCGTATGATGAGTGGGCTAGCCATGTATTGCGTATACGTAACGTGTGTCGCGCGTGCTGTTGATAGATAATTGTTGTTGTTTCTTTTGTTTTTTTTATTATTCTTTTTGTTATTGTGCTGTGTTGTTATTGTCGGCATTTCGTTTCGCATGTTGTTGTCAGCAGTCAACAACAACTGGCAATTATTGTCATGCTTGTTCGCTACGTTTGTCGGCGTGTTTCGGCCGTCGTCGTTGTTGTTGTGACTGCTATTATTTTAATTGTTATTAAACAAATGCCGCATTGTTTTTCCTGCAAATTGTAAATCACACATATGCGTACATACAGAAATATGCTTTAAAAAAAAATTCGGTGCCTCCGAGCCATGTCGCGCCGCGCCGCCCCGCCCAAATGCCGGCCGGTTCCGTGCGCCGTGCGATGCAGTCCGCATTCAGGTCCAGGAGAAGTTGTAGCCGCAGACGTAAAGTGCCCCAAGCATAGTGCTGACCGCAGATCTAATTAGCGTTGCATTTTCCAGTTAATTTTAATTGAGACTGATTTATGAACAACGCAATTTTTTAACTGCGTCGCGTTGTTTTCCTCCCTACCCCTTTTGCGCTCACACTTTCTCTCTCGCTCCTTTCTCTCTCTCTCTGCTTCTTTCGCACTTGCCTATTTTGTTGCTACGAGGTTTTTTTTTGTTTTTTTTTTGTTGTTTGCTTTTATTCTTTTATTCTATTGAGAAAAAGCTAGCTAAGCATCCGGCTGACGACATTATTGCGATTGCGACTCAAAATTCTCTTCGTGTATAAAAACAGGCGACAAAAACGTCACTCATGAAAATGTTCGGAGCAATAAAATATAATTATGAATTACCAAAAAAATAATGATATTTGGCAATTATTTGTTTTATAAAGCAACATTACTATGAATGTGAAACGAAAATAAATTTAAAAATTTAATATTTTTCTGAATAAACAGAATTGAAAACAGAATTGTTAAATGGTCACCATTACTCATCAACGCATAGCTACATATAACGTCGCCTCTGCTTTCGAACGAATTGTTAATAGTTTAAGAGTTCACATTTTCGAGTTCCTAGCCTCTTGTTGATTGTATGTAACTGTTTTTCTGAACTAGTATTATGCAATTGTACGATAATAATGTTCACAATCGAAAAGGAATATGAGTACATATTTTATATTCTTCCTGAATTTGTCTTATATTAAAAGTGAATCCTTAAAAAGTTGTCTTGCATTGCAAGTCAAATCATTTGCGATGCTTTTGTCGGGTGACATTGTGACTTGTTCGCTGCAGTTTGCCTTCTTTAGGAAACGCTGCACTAGCAGCAGCAGAAGCAGTGAGCGCCAAGTCGCGGCTCGTGCTGCGCTCTCCATTCCGCGCCCTCTCTCATTCGCATACCGATTTTACGCTCTTTATCTTGCACTCTCTGAAATGGCGCGGCTCTCGAGACGTTGAGCTTTACGCTGCGCGCCGCATAAAAAGCTAACGGCAGAAAATCGCATCGCTGTCGTCGTTTGTTTTAGTTTCAGTTTTGTTGTTGCTACTGCTGTTGTTTTTGCCTTTTCTTTTTGTTGTTTTTTTTTTTTTTGTTATACATGTTTTTTTTTTATTTTGCTAATTTCTTTTAAGAATTTTCTTGAACAATTTTCCTGCTGCAACGCTTTCGTTGTTGCCGTCCCGGTTTTTATTAGAAGTCGTTGGCTGCGCTGGCAACTCGTTCGAGTTTTTTGTTTGACATTGTCGTTGCTGCTGCTGTTGCTGCTTGCAACTGCTTTTTTTGCTGAGTCTGTCACCGTTTAACGGTGCTTGTGCGTGTGTGTGTGTGTGTGTGTTTAGAATCGTTTGCAAGCTTGCAAAAAGTTGCGCCAGTGGGCGGTGGCTTTTGCCTGCCCGTCGCCTGTCTCTTCCTCTGCTCTTCTTGCATCGCTTGGCTCTGTTTGTTTGGGCACTCGCTTGGCTCTAAGCTCTTAACTGTTATCAGCTATCAGCGCAAGCCACACACACACACACACACACACATACGTGCATACACAGAACGTCGTGCAACATTCATGTGGCATGTGCTGTATACAAATCGACATACAAAGCCATATATTTGACTAGAGCGAAAGAGACAGAGCACAAGGCTGCGGTAGCGAGAGCGAGAGGGCAAGACAACAAAGTGGAAATTGTAAACAG